CAATTGGTTTGAAGAGTTTTCAAGCTCTTGTTCACTTCAGAAGTTAGTCATGGGATCCATTGAGCTTTTTTGATAGACGAGTTGAAGAGCGCTTTCGTAAACTCTGCGTAATCGCTGATATGGACGGACAGACTCGAACCTCAATATAGGTTTGTCACGCTTTTAAACCACAAACCACTCAGTTTTCAAGCAACAAAAAATACTGTAATGTGGCCATTACGACCGCCATACAACAATAAACTTGTGCGCATACAGGGTGCGCCAGAATTGTTTGCGCGTATATTCTGCAACGTAAAACTCGTGCAAGACGAGATCAGCGACAGGCAAAAAGCTATTTTGTTTCAGTAAGGTTCTATCATTAAGAGGCTATAGCATGAATTGGAATTTCTAAGCGTGGCTTGAGAAAAATCACAAAATATCTTACAGATTTAGTTGCGCGCAACACGCAGGTATTTCCTCAGAGAATCTTTTGCTTCTTCATAGATATTTTTCTTCAATGCCCCTGTAATGCAAGGAACTCACCACATGATAGAGCAAGTTTTCGGCTGCAACCTACTGTAAGCGCAAAATCTAGGATATTTCGACTAGCGAATTACCGACGTTTGAACAGTCATGTGTTTGCCACAAGCTCAAAAATTGCACATTTCAGAGGTACCAATGAGCGAAAGAAAAACAGAAATGGACTCCAAATCAGGTTGGAGTTCAATTTCATCAGTAGAAAAAAAACTGAGTATTTATCTAGAAGCTTTGTGGAGGCATATCCGGTGATAGATACGTTTCTATAGCCTACAAATGTGATTTGAAAACAAAACGACCACTGACAAGCGGGTGACATCTGCGTACTTTTGTTGCCTTTTTAAATCAATAATTGTTGACGAACGCAAGTACTACGATTCGATAGCGCAAAGCCTCCTCTACACTGTAGACATAAAATCCCTTGAAAAAGTCTGAAGAATCTCCAGTTAAGGAATGAATTATAACTACCGCAAAATTAGGTTTTTGCGCCTCTTAAAAGTATTAGTACGACAATTTCATTATTTGCACAACGGTATGGCAATTACCTTAGGCCCATAAAACGCTATTTTGTAGATGATGATTGCAGCATTCTACACATAAATTCTTAAATCAAAACTATGAGTAGTTTCTTTGCAGCACTCATGCAAAGTTGACGCAAATACTTTCGGCGCACCTTGTAGTTAGAAAAGAATTTCGGAGTCAGCATTATGCTTCAACCGCAGTTGTCATCCACTGAATGTCGACTAGAGCACCCTGCACAATCATAGCCATCATAAGATAGAACAGGACACCGATCAAAACTTCAAAATCTTAACTAATCTCATTCTTTGGGTAAAATTTGACTCAAAACAGGAAGAAAAACAACGAGGTCTACAATTATGTGGAACTTACAGCTCGAATTTTCGTGGAAAGTATTTCAGGTCCAGATCGCGACTGCATCATAGGGGAAATCCGTGAGTTGTTGCGGAAGCTACATTACCATGCGGACAAACGTATAAATTAAGTCCAGGAATGATATTCACGAAAGTCCATTTAAAAATGGGCTTTTCGCGAATGAAACGCGAATAAAATGGACTTAGTCCCTGCGGTGCGATAAGATATCGCGTTCGCGAATCCATTCATTCCATACAAAAATGCTTCAACCTTTTTTCAACTTGCCTCAACCTGTTTACTCACTCTTGCAAACTCATTCCCACCAAGTGGTCGATATCTAGGCTGATCTAACTTTACTATATCAGTCACGTGAATACTCCATTCTTCCATTTCATTACACCTCATAGAATGCCATTTATTAACTATGACTATGCATCTAAATTAGTTTCAGTCCATCTAAAATCCAAGTAATATCTGGGCATTTGCTCTTCAAAACTTCTATGAATCTGCATTGAATCAAATTCGTATGTGGAGTTTCCAGCAGAAAGCAAACTTTGGCTAGACTTGCATTGCAATTTGTGAATCAAAATGCTTATCTCACAGAAAACCTTGTACTACACTACAACACAAAGGCTTGTAAGCTGGAAGAACTTTGGATCTGCAAAAAACTGATGGGTTCTCATGCTGTACTTTAGCAACCCCAAAACTTTCATGAAAATATGGCTTTTGATAAATGAAGTTGTTTTTCTTGCATCAACTGTGTGAGTTTGAGGGGTGGATAATAGAATGAGACAAAGTCACTGAATTCAATTTTGCGTTCAGAACTAGGCATATACTCTGATCCCAAGTCATATGTGCTTTGATGATCAAAGTTGCTTAGGGGAAACGCTACGAAAAACTGAAGCAAAGCGGACTTATATCCGTCTTAATCAGCATATAGGGAATGCTTGATCCAATGCCTTTTGCTATTGGCAACCTTGTTATAGATTTTGAATAGAATTCAAATTAACCGGTTGTTGGAAAAGCTCTCGCATAATCCAGTACCAATCAGGTAACCTTTTTTCTCAACCCTAATGTGATGCTCTATATTCGAAATTAAAACAGAATTCGCTTCGACTTTTTGGGTATTGAAAAGTGTTTTCGGTGACAAAATGACGTATCGAGAAGATTTTCTCTATAAAATGACTTGTTTAATTTTGGTAAATCGCGATATTTTTTATATTTCCATACGAGAGCAAGAAGTGACTAATGTATAGACTATAGCTAGTAAGAAATTTTTCACAGAATATTCTGACTTGCTAGCGGTACTTCAGTACTTCTTGCTACCAAACTCAAAATCGCGAATTTTGAATTGCTGTCTTTGTGTCTGTCTGTCTGTCTCAACTGTCTACGAAGAAAATTTTTCTATGATTTTCAAAGCATTTCAAGGCTGTTTGGAAAAGATACCCTAAAATCCGTCATATAAGAGCGGACTTATCTGCAGTTTTGGCAGGAAAATCGATGGAAAAACGCCGCAAAGGGTGTCACAGATAAGTCCTAAATCGTCTCGCAGATACGTCCGTCTGTCCTGAGCATGAGCAAGCGCGACCTAGGAGCACAGACGCGCGCGACCGCTCGCGTGGCTTGCCAGTGTAGATTTAAACGAGGCCGCGATATCGCCTGAAAGAAAGAGCTCAAGGATTCGACAAGTCGTACAGTCTACTTGGTGGTCGTCTCGGATTCTTCATCGCGTACGCTGGATAGGTGAGTTCTTTTCCTATATATGACACCTGTATGAAATTGAGCGATTTCTGCCGATGAAAAGAATCATAATAGGTTTCATCATTGCAATCATCTCAACTTATCATTCATCTTATCGTTTTGGAGGCGACAATGTTTTCACTACATCTCTCGAACCCGTACAGGCTACAACCCTTGAACCTGACTCCTACACTTTTGCTTCCTCTATTGTTTTCATGTTCTGAATGTAGTCTCTGTTGACCCATGCCATACGGCTTTTGTCAAATGCTTTCTTGAACGGAAGAGTGACAGTCTGAGAATGCTCAACCTTAGCAAAGCATTAGGCTTCCTTGTTATTTTCCTCAATTGTTGTTTCATTAAGCCTGTACATCCAAGACAAAAGATAGTGTAGTCAAATTTGATGCCGCCTGCTTTTCCTTGTATAAAAGAGTAAACCTTTCGATGACCAGCGCAAATTTATAGGACTCCGCGTGATTCCAGTGTGCAATGACCGGTAACTCAGCGAAGTTCACAATCACGCGGGGCCCTATATTTCCAGCATAGTCTCACATGCTTTGACTTAAGCTTTTCAGGTGTCTCGCATCTCAATGGCTATCAGAAGGAAGTCCTACACCGCGCTTTTTAAGCTTAACGTGGTGCAATATGCCTTGGAACATGGAACATCGGCTGCCGCTGTTCACTACGAAGTCTCTGCTCGTCTGATTCGAAGATGGAAGGCCGATAAGGAGAATTTGGAGGATATGCCACTGAGGAAACGCGCCAACCGTTATGTTAAGCAAAAGGTAGAGGAGATCGAGAAAGCTGTCTATGCATGGATTGTGCAGAGGCGGGAAGCAAGCAGAGCAGTGCTTGTCGAGGACATTCGAGCGAAGGCATTGCAGCTAGCGCAGGAATCTGGCCGGCAGTACTTCAAGGCAACGGAATCGTGGTGCAAAGGTTTATGATGAAAAGGAACTTAGTCATTAGAAGAAGAACCACCATCGGTCAGCCACGTTTTGATGATGATAAACATGGAATGGAAACTGAATAAAGATTTGTTGCTTCGGTTCATTCTGAGACCAAAAATGGCAGCGCAATTGCGCATCCTTCTTGTTTTTATGTGAAAAAATAAGGCGGACTCATCCGCGGGACTTGGCGGCGCGCGAGGCGCGCGAGGCTGTCACGAAAGCGGACTTAACTGAGAGCTCTTTTGCGGTCTTATCGGCGAGGCGGTCTTTACTGCGAGCCGATCTTATATGACGGATTTTAGGGTAGTTTTTTGGCCCTCCTAAAGAAGATAAAACTTTCTCCGATCGCTTAGTATCTTAAAATGGGCTGGCGAACATATTGGCCCGTAGTAAAGCTCGATCATGGGAGATGATCTTTCTTGAGACCTTCATGTGAGGTTTTGCCAGTAAAATGACGACCGCCCATATCCCCATGCTATAGGGATGCAAGGTCACCTGAGAGGTGAGCCTCAGGTGAAGTTCGGCAGGGAGATGATCTCCCCTGCCGGGTCATGGGAGATGATATGAGCGATGATGTCCAGAAATAGTGTGCTTAAGAGGAAACGCAGAGAAAATCGTCGTAAGTTGCTCCTGAGTAACTTACAATACACACCACTTTGCCTAAAAATGCAGACAAAATCGGCGCAAAATTGCACACTTTCTTATTCGAACTTTTTAGAGAAGTTTCAGAGGTTTTTGTTGTTGTTTGTTTTTATTTCACTACTTATTCTACGCCTAATTGCGCGTACTTTTCTATTCATTTCTCCTGCTTGCTAGTGCGTTTCGATAGTTTCTATCATTTTAACTTTGCCTGCGAATCCTGAAAATTTTTTCATGAAATGATACCACTTTAAATGTACTATGCGACTATATAAGACGCAGAAGAGCGGGCAGCATGCCGGAACATCACCAACGGGGCAAAAAACGGAGGGCTGGGTGGTGGAGGGAGGGCACCAGAAAATCTTGTGGGGGATCAGAACATCGAAGATTCTATCGTGCCTAGTGAATAAATGAAAGGATGGCGCAGTCTGCTTGTTCAGGTTAGCTTTTTTTCTTGTAAAGATAACTGTAAGACAAGAGATGTTTTTCGATTAGGTCATGGATTTTTTGTTCTTTTCAGTTTCGTTGTTCTACTATCTCACTAATTTGTTATTGATCAATCTCTAAATCTGCTAAAAGGAGTGGGCCAAACCTCCTCGGCGTAATCCACGGCCGCCACTTATCTAGATGAAGAAGAAGCTGCTGTACTGATGTCGGAGCTTGAATCTGAGAAGGAGCCTATTCCTCTTGATCGCCCGTATCCAAGGGTGTTGGTACCATTTCTTCCCGGGTCTGCTTAATGTCATTGTAAACTATGCTTCATTATCACATATTTAGGTTATTCGCCATTCGCCATAGCTGTAAAATGCCACAAGAAACGTATAAAAGCGTTTTAAGTTGATAGCAAATTCTGGCATTCTCGAGGAGTCCAATCAACATTGACGAGAAAACGGTGACTTTTTGAATTCTTCTGCATGAAAAGAACTCAGTTGAATATTTCAGACATATAACAATTCTGTTGCGAGCGTGAGAGACGCATGTGTCATAGTGGAGGCTTTGAGGAAAAGCAGTGCAATTTTTGGGAACAACTGACTGGAATCTAAGGTGCCTGCTTGAAGTGCTCGTTGTTAATTTCTGTTTTAGTACTCAGTTTTAACTCAACATTCATCTTTTGCACGAGTACATGTCGAAATATGTGGCTGCTAATGGGTCTAGAAATGCTATAGATGATTATCACACTTTCGACCTTGGTTCGACTATAGTACTTTAGGTTTCATTTCGCTATCAAACACTGCCATCTATTACGATCCCGATCCAAAGAACAATTGCATTGAAAAAGATGATGACTGGGTGAGCATTTTCTACAAAATGACTGATTCGTAAAATCGTTTGATTTTGATCACTTTAGATGAAATCCAGGTATTCTAGGTTGTTGCCCCTGTCCGTCTCACGTTTGGCGTCCCTCTCGCGATGCGGGTTTGCAGCAGCAGCATCTACACCTGCGGCACAAAAGAATCTCAATCCTGAAGAGCTCCGACTAACATTTGCCTCCCCTGACATGGTAAGACATGACTCTTGCATCATGGCGTTCCATTTATTGCTTTCGTGAGAACTGAACCGGACTGATTGTTCGGGTTTAGAAAGTCAACGGACTTTCATAGAAATTTGATGTTTTATCGTTTGATTCATTTTCATTCTGCTTTAGTTAGTATTCTCTTATTGTATATCATGATATCCTCTTGGGGACCGGCCATACTATTCCTGTGACTCTTGCGATTCCTGCGATTTGTTATTCCTGCGGGTCGTTGATGTACATTGCAAAAAAACTGTGTACACTGAATTTCGCAAATCGCTCTGTAGTGCGGCACATTGGAAATGGGGAATCACATAGGAATCACCTCCTGGAATAGTGTGGCCGGTCTCTTGGGTTGCGTGATGATGGTTTTTGACAATAGCATCTTTCGTTTAGGCATTTTACAACAATGCCGTGCTCAAGCAAGTTGATGTGTCTACACTTGCTGGTATGGTCGCCGTTCTCGGCGACCATGTCCCTACCATCGACGTACGGGATCATCTTTTCCAGTGTGGACTACTGACGGTTAACTACATTATTGGATGTTAGTTTGCTCTCATTGTTTTGTTTTTCTTTCTCTTTTGCACTCTCTATGTAGCGGATTTACCTTCTCGGAAGGTAGTGCTTTGCTGGTTTCAAATAACAGCTACACCCACTTGCCAGATTGTGAGAAGAAGCACAATCAAGATTTTATCATGCCAGGCTCACAAGATGTGCTTGATTTGAGCTCACTATTTCTAGGTCAACTGAGTTTTCGGAGGCTTTACCATAATGCTTATCGTATCTCAACACAATCGTTGCTATTGGATGTATGTGGACTATCAATGATGGTGATTGCCTATGGCTCATATGCTCTCGATGGGGTGGGATTTCCGTTTCTCAAGCTTATGGCTGAGCTTTTTCGGTGAGTTTCACTATGTTCGGTGGTATAAGTTGTAAAGTAGATAATTTCTTTGAATACTGTTGGCAATCAGACGCATTGGTTTGATTGCCTATTCAAGATTACAATCATTTCAGAGGCTTTGCGCAAATGTTCTTCATCTTCATGGTTTTGCTACTTGCACGAGGCCAGAATGTGACAAAAATGAAGTTGGCAAAGGCGAGGATTTTGCATTTTGTAACTGATCACTGATCGCTTATTGAATATTTAAGATGGACAATATTTCGTTGTTTTGCCTCACATCTTTTTTCATCACCTCGTATATAGGAATGCTGTTCTGGGAAATCTGGGAGTTCTGAGTGATCCTGTACGAACTACATCAAACGATATATGCGAAATTTTAGAGGTATGTCCCTATTTTTGCAATCATCAAATCCCTTACGAATCTTCTCGGACAGGTGCTGGGAATCGAAGCTGTGCGTAAGGCGTGAGATGAATAATGTCATCTCTTTCGACGGCTTTTTCAACTATCGGCATCTTGCTCTCCTTTGTGATGTGATGACAGCTAAAGGTACATATCATAGCTTCTGCTTACATACAAAAGGATAGTGTTTTTCTAGGTTATCTTATGGGTATCACTCGTCGCGGTATGAACCGACAAGTGGTGGGAGCTCTTATGCGTTATTTGTTTGAAGAGACCGTTGATATACTTGCAATAGCGGAAACCGGTGCATTTGATGTAATGATTCAACTATGATTTCGTTGATAATTCCATTCTTTTGTTGCTTTTTGGGAACATTAAGGTAAAGTTAAGATTTGCGGTTGTAGCTAGATGAAAGTTTGTTTTTAGAATGTCGCTTCGCAAAACAGTGGAAGCTTCTGGCAACAAGCAACAAGGAAGTTGTTGCTTGTCAGTGCCAAAGGGCTTTGGTCACTACTTACGGCTACGAGGGAAAGTGTTTTGCAATCTGTCAGTGACGCAAGGTCAATAATAGAATTCAGTGTGATATACTTTCGCTTTACTCTAATTGTGTTTCTAATGCGTGCTGCCCCAATAAAGTTGTTGTCGTCTCTAGGGTTTGTACATGAACAAAACATATCTACAGATTAATTCTATTCAATGTACACGATCAAAGAACGAACAAAAAAAAACACTGTAGAAAACGCATTAGAAGTCTAATGGTCTTGAATGAGACAGCCGGAGTGTGGAATACCTCACTTTAGAGTATTTATTTAATAGAGTGTTGGAAAGACTACCACTGGTCCATTTGAGCGCTAGGAATAACGTTATTACTGTTTTTATATTATTTGCACATTCAGTTTTTTCTCCAATAAACGCCCATAACTTCTTGTGCAGGAACGCGCAGATAAGGAACACGGATTTGGAATCAGTGTTTTATGCACTACATAATGATATGCAAGTCACCGCAAAAGGCCACTTCGACTGACCATCCTTCCCTTGTAAGAAGAAGTGCAAGCAAGCCAATATCTGCCCTTCCGCTCCCATGGGCAATGCTCTCGTGGAGTGTGCAATTGTGCAAAGGAGAAGCAGCAGCACGTATGTTGCCTGTTGCAACATACACAACGCGCTTGTTGCAACATTATTGCATGTTTCAGGACTATGTACATGGTTACAGCAACGTGCAACAATGTTGCACAAGCTGCATGCTGCAACTTGTGCAACATTGTTGCAACAACATGGCTGTTGCATGTTGCACCTATGTATGTTGCCGCAACATTGGCAACATTGGTGCAGCAACATGACTCTTGCATGTTGCGCCATGTTGCATGCCGCAACATGGGCAAGATTGTTGCAGCAATGCCTGTTGCATGTTGCGTATGTTGCATGCCGCAAGATACGCAACATGCATGCAACAGCTCCAATGTTGCCCGGTGATGCAACATAGCATGGACTAAAAGATCATAAAATGTGAAAAAAAACGAGCGGAAGAAAATGAAAAAGCAATAGATAAAGGTGCGAAGGAAAATCAGGTGCTATTTGTGGATCGAAGACGGATGTGCCCGTAACTGCCGCTGGACTGTTTTGCCGATAAAAATCAAACGGTTTTCGCCATCGCAAAAGCGTTTGCACTGCAACGGAACCGAACCTCCGACCATTTCCACACTACGCAAAGCTCTTCGCCACTTCACCACAGGACTACGGTTACGTTCCGTCCATGATGGCTATTGGAGCGTATCACCATAAGTGGATGATAGAATATGGATTTTCCGATCAATGGCTCGCCGGATGTTGGACTGAGGCGCCAAGATGTCAACTCCGGTCCGCCTCAGGGGAGATGCCCTGACGGTACTTTACTACGGGCCATTCTCAAAAAATCGCAATCAAAAATATGCGAAAAGGTCAAAAATGGGCATAGTCCCAGCACATCTGGCTGCTGGAAGTAAAATGGGCTTATCAGAAAGGTGAGAGAGAATGAACATGTAGGTGAACTCCATTTTGCCCTTTTTCTAAAATGGACTTTTGACGTCATCTTCCGCGAGCGATAGCTCAAGTAAGCTTGAATCATTTTCATTTCACCGCTTTGCCTCGCTGTTGCGATGAGATGAAAAATTTTGAATATCGTAAGCGGGAACCGATTTCGACCACTTTCTAACGCGAACGAATAAAATGGACTAAGTAAGTCCATTTTCCTCCATTATGGACTTTCGTGGATATGAGTCCAGCACTCCACAAACGTTACAAACTGAGTTTTGTGGTTTACACGCGTGACAAACTTAGAGCTTGGAGTCTGTGCGTCCATATCAATGATTACTCCGAGTTTACGAAAGCGTTCTTCACCACATTTCTCGAAAAGGCTAAATGGATTATGACTATGATTTGAAATGAACGAGAGCTTGAAAACTCCTCATCAGCTGGTTGTTAAAGCACATTCACTTTTTATGCTTCTGACAGCAAAGAATGCAGTGATCATCTTTTTGAACAGGATGACAGTCGGTAGGTGTTACAAATTTTCCATATTTTGAATATGTAATTGTACAAAAAAAATTTGAGAGTCAAGGAAAGTGATAGTGTTTGAAAAACCAGGTGTCCTTATAAATTTGTCCAGCTTTCATTTTTTTCTCTTCGAGTTTTCTGTTTTTCCCCGTTCAAACTCAACAAGATTGTAAGCCGTTTTGAGGGGTCATGTTAGGTTAACATGCGCACAATACAGCATAGTTTTATTGACAAGAAAAGACGATTTCTAGAGTGGCTGTCTTTATAATTATATCCAGCACTAAATATCCTGATTACATTTTGTGTAAAAGGCTTTTTTCTCATGTAAAAGCCTTACGAAAATTCAATAGGTTAATTTTTGATCCTGATAACAACTGAATATGATACTCGTGCTCAGTATGTAAGATTATTCCATTGAGCAAAGTTTCGCTGAATCCGATTGTTACGACCCTTTGGCATTTATAGATCTCCTAGGCGATTTCGACTCATTAGATTTTGAATTACAATTCTTTTTTCGTTGGGCTCAGTAGCTAAGTAGCTAACTTCTGTGAACATCTTGCCCGAAGTTATGGACAAAGTTGCAGAATTTTTGAGCCAACCTACTGTTAGGTCACACGGGTTTTGCAACTTTTCTCATAACTTCTTCCTCTCTGAACACAGTGCTCTCTTTTTGGCGTTATATAGACCCTGACGTAATCTACAATAACGCTGAAACCGTTTGATTTTCGACACCAAGATAGAATAATTATAAGCACTCTCCGAATATTGAAATCGTGGTTTACGGTTTTTTCGCGGAGATAGAGCCGTACACAACTTGAAACATATAAAGACGGAATTGTAAACCGCGTATTGCTAGAGGTTTACTTGCTAACTCATCAAAAAAGGAAATCAAAAAAAAGAGAGAAAACAAACCAAGTTTTGGCATTTCGAGAAGTTGAACTAATTGAATACTTCAATTTTGCTGGCGCATCTGTCAATAAGTGAGCTGTTAGACCTTAGAATTTTCCCAAACTTTGCATGTTTGGATAATTGGATATGCTTAGCAAAACGATATCATTTGTTGCTAAGGTGAGAATTCACACCTTAACCTTAAGAAGGAGACTCCTTAATGCGATATAATTATTACTTCTGTAATCAATGCATCGAATCTTCCTAGGTTAAGTTTCAACAAACCTGAAACAATCTGAAAATCTCCCCTTTATACCGTAGATCTATCTTAGCCCTCACAAGCGGTGATGAAGTCTGGCTAAGGCTGCATTTGTAGCTTACATCATATAAAAAAGTTGCATCACTTATGTGCCAACCTGACATTTTTAAATTACGAAGTTGGCACATTATTCCCACTTTAGCTCAAATTTAGGCACGGGCTGTAGTGAGTAATCCAGCTGCATGTTTAGCCCAGATGCAGTACGGACGAATCTGCAGTTTGCATACCTTTTTCGTGCAGAATAATGGCTTACAGGTTTGTCCGCAAAGGCGTACCGCAGTCATGGAAGACAATTTGAAGTCAGCGTTCTATGCTGCATCTACGGTTTGCCGCTTGTTTGCGTTGGCCACTTCGACTTCTGATTATTGCCTTATAAGTCAAAGCTCTTAAGCTAAAGCTTTCAAGCTAAAGCTCTTAAGCTGAAGCGCCTTAAAGTCTTGAAAATTTTCCGTATTGTTATCGCAGTTTTACAGTGATAAAGAACCACTGTGGGTTAGCTCCATACTATAAGCTGAACCATTATTACAGAATAGCAAAAGAGTTTTCAAAAAGAAAAAAAAACAATGTGCACATTTTGCGAAACCTATACTACGCTTCGATATTTCAAAAACCTGTAGCGAAAGTAAAGACCGAGAGCAAGAAGGCATGTTGTCAATGAATACTTATCAGCAATAAGTGGGCACATTCAAAAAATCTGCCGAAATTTTAAATTTTGATTGTGGGCATTTCCTTCTGAACAGCACCATTACCCATTTATGGCAAGCAGAAGCAGAATATCAAACATACGACATGCTTGCAATACACCTACACTGCAAAAAGGCCAAGGCATGTACTGGATAAACGCCATGAGCACATTGCTGACATGCGGCTAAGCGAATTGAGCAAGGTATCATTCATTCTAGGACTAGGAGACGCGAGACCGCTTTGCACACATTGTCTAAATAAGCCCAGTCGTGTACTTAGCAGGTTTATACTTGTCACATATCTCGCCCACGTTTAATCACTCTTTGGAAACAGGGAAGAACAAACTCAACATGTTGAGACAATGTCCGCAATGCGGTCACGTGTCTCTCATTGTTAGGCGTGAAATAGATGATATTTGTGTGCCGATTCTACCCATGTGTATTCGTCAATGACTACGGTCACTGAAGTCTTACTTCCTCAACCTTGGTGATTAATCAAGCAAAGCATTGACTTTACGATATGTCAATATTCATCAAAAATTAATTAGAAAAAGTATAATAGTCAAGCAGTACGAATTGGGTCATAGCAGGGATAAGCTTCAATCTTGGTAGCAAACTTATTGTAATTTGGTCCTAGTCGAACAAAAACCCAATTATGCGAATAAAAAACACTTGAAAATCTTCGTATTCGAGATATAAAAATCGGAGTTATCCAATTCTTATATATAAAGCTGAATGTCTGTTTGTATGTCTGTCTGTATGTCTGTCTGTATGTATGTACGTATGTTCCTTATAGAAAATTCCATTTCTGAACCGATCGGGACCAAACTTGGCACACATACACTTCTGGCCACGGCGGGTGTCATAGGCTACTTTTCGTATCGACGGATATCGATTTTATCGATTTTTTGCAAAATTTGAGCTACGTGGCTGGGAGTTGGCACAGGAGGGTAAGTGAGCATGGGGATTCCGAATACAATATTAGTTTTTAAAATCGTGCATTACTTTTATCGATTTTATCGATTTTTTTGCAAAGTTTGAGCTACGGGGCTGGGGTTTGGCACAGGGGGGGGGGAGGTAATTGAGCATGCTGATCACCCCCGTGGGGGTGATCAGCATGCTCGATTACCCCCCTGTGCCAAATCCCAGCCCCCTAGCTCAAATTTTGCAAAAAATCGATAAAATCGACATCAATCGATAACGAAGAGTGGACTGTGACACCCGCTAGGGCCCGAAGTGTATGTGTGCCAAGTTTGGTTCGGATCGGTTGAGAAATAAAATTTTCTATTCGGAACATACGGCGGAGCCGGGTATGCCAGCTAGTTACGAATAAAATTGGAGAAATCGCACAACCAGAAAAGGTCCCGAGGAGCTACCACCGGCTTCGATCCTTATACCCATGCTCTATCTTCTATTGCTTCCTCTTTTGCGTTTCATCATTGTGTATTTAGATATAAATAAATTCATGAAAGGTTCGTTGTGTGCTCGATAAGAGATCCATCAGTTGACCAAATGCGCTTTCTTACAAGGGAAGGGAGATTTGTCAACTTTTTACCCACAAAAACGTTCGCAACTCCTCGTACAGAAGGCCGCAGTGATAGGAAAGAAAGATTTGGAATCAGCGTTCCAAGCTCTACAAGATAGCATATATCTCACCTCAAAGGGCCACTTTGACCAACCTTCCTTTCCTTGTTAGAGTTCTGTGATTGAAGATCACCTTTTCCTTTTTTTACAACGATTACGAAATTGAAACGAAGTACCCAGTGCCATTCCTCAACAATATCAAATTGGAAACCACGCGAGCACAAAAAATGTTACTTTCCTATTTGATCTTAACGATGCAGAAAGAGACTTTTCAATTCAAAAGCAGTTTTTCTTGCTGGAGTTTCTACAGTCATGTCATGATACACTCGCGAAATTAGAATGCTAAACTAAAAAATACCAAGTTTTTTCTCTGAGTATGGCAGAATTGACGCCAATGGTCCAATCGTCTGAGTTAATGATGTGAAGAAAACGGGCAAGAATTCTATCAACAATTCCTAATGAAGATATCAAACATTTTCGTCGTTTTCCATGAGAGAGGGATAGTTTCTTACTGCAGTGGTTGTGACGCTGTGCGTGCGAGTTTTTCGGGATCTTCGCAGAACAAATCACTTTTGTGTCACGTAGTCAACTGGAAATTTTATCGATTATTCATTTGTTACTGCAAATGGTATGGAGTGGGCACAAGTATTTAGATGGTCATATGCGCGTTGTTGTTTTCATAAATTGCAGTAGCGTCGACGATTGCTGTCATATTGTTTGTATGCGAATATACACTCCCAGAATATCTGATTCATGAAGGAGCGGCCTATTGGTCTCTAGCTAGCATCTGATGTCACGTTTTAGCGAAAAAAACATTTCGCTGTGTTCTTTAGTAGTTCTGCTTTGTCGCTTGATGAAATTAGAAAAAAATTTCTTCAGCAACTAAATTATTGGCTTTCTATGGCTTTTCGTTTATGCATCAAAAACGATAGGGACAATGTAAATCCTTTTCCTGACTCTTCTATTGCTCGATTTGTTTTGCCTTCCATGTACATACTTCTTCTCTTCCTTAGATTCTACCATTCACAGACAGAGCTCTTCTATACCTCAGAATCATTTTCATTCATCGCTACTCGTTAAAATTGGCGAAAGGCGCTTCTGTTATGAGCAACCTCTAAACGGCGTAATGCTGATGCAAGGTTTCTCTATAAAAGGTGCCGAAAAGCTTTTTTAAACACTATCAATTACATACCTACAGAGACAGTCTCATGTTTCGCTTTCAATAAGTTTGAAGCAGTAGCTTTTATAAAATTTTACTGCAGCATAAGTTGAACTCTTTGGCGTAAGCACCTTTTTTGTTCTTCTCATAGCTCTCAAAAGTAGCAAATTACCCACTAATAGACAATCATTCCGCTTTCGCTCACATAAAGTTAAGAAGTGCGTTGCACGCTCACCATACTCAGACAATGTCATAGGGAGTTCGCCGGTGCTTCCCAGAACTACTCGTCTACACCGCGAACTGCCCGGTAAACTGATGTTGGACCTGGTAAATGACCGGCAGCGCATCGCGTAAGTGCCCGTTAAGCGTTGTGGGTGACTCGATCAGCGTACTTGTAAGGCCAAAGTGAACGAACATTTTAGCCTGTCTTTCACGATGAAAACTGTGCAAATCGACCAATTTGTTTGCTCATCTGTCGGCATCATCTAACATGTCGATAACACTCGTACGACTGTTGAATTTCAAAATTCAACTCTCTTAGATAATATCAAGTCCGAAAAGCGATAACCAGCCTCATAAACACTTAGGGTAGCCCCACCGTTACGACGTACCTCACGCAGGTTGCGCCTTGACCTGCAGCCTATAGGAAGTGCGGCCTCTAATATGACCCGCGGCCCGCCGACTGATGTGGTTGGTCCTCGACTGTCCCTATAATCTCTTCCCAAGTTCAACTTTGGCCGCGGTGTTCCCGTAAAAATTTAGATGGGCCGCGGCATGCGAGGCCGAAATTTCAAGGGCTGCGGCTCATCAGGTGAGATTTGGGGTGCGGCGCGCCATGTAACACTCCTTGAAGCCGCGAACTTTCCGATGGAATTGTCTTAGTAAGTGTGGCTTAACACATTTAGACCATATGATCCAGCGGTGGGTCGTGCTTGTTTACCATTTTCGACCAGGCGAAACACCGGTGAGATGCTTTCCGAAAATTTTAATTTTGCTAATTTGAGATGAAACTAGCAGACAGGGTAAATCTCTATTTATCTCGTCTGGAATATTTAGAAGTCATAATTCAGACTATAGGACCGGGCCCAATAAAACTATGGAAGTGGATCGTAACCTTGAATTTACTAAAAATGCTTGTTCGAAATGACACTTATCGGAAAAAAAAACGCCTCAGTCGTGGTGTCAAAAAAATTGATCGTTTTTACCTCCTCAAGGCCTTCACAGACCCTAAGAAGCCCAACTCATGAGTTTATTCAGAGATTGCAAGCAAGAAAAGTTGCTGATCACAGCATTGGACTTCATCTTTTTTTGAAGAAGCGCAAAGTTGGAAACACTTGTATCTAAGCCTCTCCTTCAGGTCTCAGTGTTTGAAGCTATCACCGCGATTTGAGCTTTGCCGTAAAAACTCAAATGTTTACATCGTAATAATGGCTGCATCTACATGACCTTCTGAGCGCCTCAATTAATGTTACAAAAGCTGTTTCAGAAAAAAAGCTTTCTAGATGATACACTTGCAACATTTCTAGGTTTTACAGGGTGTTTGATGCGCTTTAGATTTACTGTAATGAATTTTATGCATTACACTAAATTTATTTCGCTTGAGCAGAAGCGAGTCCATGCTCATCCTGAACAGTGACACAACAGAAATATTAACAATTGAATAATGTGTAGTTACTCTTGGCACGAGCTATTTAATATTGGAGGAAGTGGGATGGGTTGTCTGAAGCATTATAGTCAGCAGAAACTATAGTGTCAATCTTGCTTGGTGACCGGCCGTTTTTCGTTTGACTCTCGATTGTAATTTAGACTGCAGCATAAGCCCAGCTACCATTCCGTACTCTACTTACAAGGGAAGGAAGGTTGGTCGAAGTGGCCTTTTAAAATGAAGTGTGTACTGCCTTGTTGAGCTTGGAACGCTGATTCCAAATCTACCTTTGCTATCTGCTGCGGGCTTCTGGGCGAAGAGTTATGAAGGTTTCTGTGAGTAAAAATCTGAATGCAAAAATAGGATGAAATCAGTCGTAACCTTTTCCCGGTGTTCAAATGAGGCAGCAGCGAATTGATATATTCAAATCAAGAATATTTGTTGCACCGAGTGACCCGACTACCAATTGAGCCCTATAAAAAATGTTACGACTGATTTTAGCCTACTCTTGCATTCAGATTTTTACTCACAAAAACCTTCATAACTCCTCGCCCAGGAACCCGCAGCAGATAGCAAAGGTAGATTTGGACTCAGCTTTGCAAGCTCTGTAATGCAGTATACATCTCATTTCAAAAGGCCACTTCGACCAACCTTCCTTTTCTTGTTAGTGGCTTTGTCGTACAGCTGAACCACAATTAGAAATTTTCATGTGGTAACAGTTTATTTGGTTTGGGCAGACATTGGTGGCACCTTTTTGTATGCTTTTCAATTGCTTTTTTGTCGTGCCTGCAGGGACAGATTGCAATGATGGTTCAGGGGTATTGAATCTGTTATTTTAGTCATAAATAATCGATTCACACTGTGAAAGTTGCCTTTATTTATACATGCGCGGGTGCTTCTACACAGCTAAAATTGTACAAAGAATTATGACATCATATGATTACTCAGCTTGCTTACATGCACTATACTTCTTTGCTGATGACTTCTATGCTTTTTTCTCATGGAGTGAATGGCCGAGTAATCAATGCACGTTTGTGTCTCTACCTTTCAATTTTAAAGCTTCCTGCAAAATAAAGAAATACAACTGATGCAAGCAAGCGGTATGCATAGCCTTTTCTTATGGTATGTTTGTTCGGACCCCTCGTATTCGTACAAATTATAACTCCCTCTTAAAGTTCGATGTGAGAATCTTTACTGTTTGTTTCTGCAATCACACTTTGTTATGTGTCGACAATTATCTCAAGAAATTATTGAATGGAATTGATGGATACTTTTGGAATGGCGATATTTTGCATTATTGTCATCTATGTGTCCAAGAACGATGTTATACTCGGTTCTGGCACAATGGAGGGAGTGGCGTCAAAGCAATTTATGGACAAACTTGTTATTTGCAAAAATTGCTATTCAAATCAAAACCATCTTCAATGAGCTGCACAGTGCGATGATCTATAATTGCAGACATTTTGTTTGGTAACAAGGTTGGGCTAAATAGGGACAATTATAACATTTTCTTATTATCCTTTAGAACAGTCGGTTATGAATATCTTATTCGCCTATATGCTGTGGCAAGACAAAACTGAGGTATCAATAAAAGTCTGCTCTGCAAAAGTAAAGATGTTTTAGTAAAGACGTACATCCAAAATAATCCTTGGCCAAAGGAAATTTTTGAGAGTTTTGGATTTTCCAACATGTCTCTCAAGAAGGTGTTTGCTAGAACAGTTTTATTCAGCTACTTCGAACATTTAAAATGCTAAACTTAGCACAAATCTGAAAACCCTGAAAGAGCTTCTGCTTTTTTTTTTAAACTGACATGCTAAGCAGAGATGCAAGCGAAAGATTTGTAGTGCTCATAAATTCACTGCTATCGTCATAATTACTAAGGTAGTAAGTTTGCCAAGAGTAGACATTTCTTCCATTCTTGTATCGCATTGGTAGTTTATGGTTTAGACACTTATGATTTATGTACCTAAGAATTTCTTCCCCGAGATATTTCGCCAGTTTCTAGTCAGAAAATATTTTTGATGGTCATTTGGCGAATTTCCCGTTAAAGTCGTCAGGTTGTAGAAGTCGACAACACAAGTTCGAAAATCAAGAAAAGTCCTATTATCAACTGAAGCCCTACTAGTCTCCGTAACTTACTACCATACAACTCAAGCGTTTTTTCGTCAGTCAAATGGCTTTTAAAGACATCAAATTCATGTTGGTCAAACGTATATGTCATCATTTCCCTTTCCCTTTCCATATTGATCAAATTTTTTTCAACTTTGGCAGACCGGTTTAGCCTTCCAATATTTCATAAAGAATTTAAAAAGTCATCTTCACTTCATTTTCAAACTTTTCTCATCGGTAACATTTCCTAAAGGCATTGCGACTGCGACTGTCCGTTTAGTGTAAAAGCAAAAGAGTGTCTGACGTAAAAATCAAAGCGTGCAAAATCCTAATCAATGGTTATTCTCATAAGTTTCCGATAAAACTTACCGTACACGATGTACTAAAAATTATTGCGAAATTGCAGAAAAATCATTTTTTTGCTCATTATGGGTAAAACTCTTACCGGGTGGATGTAGTAATTGAGTATCATTGACTGAATGGAGTCAAAGCTGTTGACGGGAGTACATCTGTGATTTCAGAAATCGAAACAGTTCTGTTCTCTACCGTGTTATAAATACTCTTTCTTGCACATTCATCATTTTCTTTCCTTTAAATGTGCTAAGAGATAGTCATACAGTACCCTCTTTCGCTTACGATAAAGTTAATCGTTGTTCTTTGCGTGGAGCTTATCGTTAGTACGATCTGTGAAAATTTATTTATTTAATTAATTAATTCAATTTATTTATCATTTCTATAGTAACCTTCAGCCTACCATGCCCACTGAACGTTCAAAATTAATTCATAGACAGGAAGGGTAATGCGACTAATGCGCTAAGATATGTATCATCCTTTGGTACAAATATTCACTGTAATTCTTCATATGACTTCGTCAGAGATTATACCATTATAGTACGCCTGCCCCGAATGGCATGGCGGTTTTGCCTAGTAATCACTAAAATCACGCCTTCCATAGTGCTATGTTATTTCGAACTGACGCATGACAGAGCTATTTTCATACAATGTGAACCAATTTCAAATCGATTCAAAAACAATTAGCATTTTTCTCTTCATGCATTATTCATCAGGATTAAGCACATAATATTTTGAAAAAGGGATTTTATTGTACTTATTGAGCTCATACACAAACCACTGAACTGTTTGCATGCGTGAGATGAGTCATAGAAGGGCGGATAGCCACTGATCAGCACCATCGCGGTGAATATAAAGGCTCCGTCAATAGGCGGATGAACGACTAGCTTTGTTTTGTGTACATGTATGTAGCTTTACATTGCTGTTTATACACTGACAAAGATACATTGATTCAGTGAATTGGCTCCTTAATTTACAGAATGAACAAAACCTTAGCAATCCTGACCATAATCGCCGCTGTGGTCCTCGCCCAAAGGCAACGCGACATCTCAGGTCCAGACGATAGATTTGGAGGGTTTCATCACAGAGGTAGAGGACGTCACCATCCACATCATGGACCTCCGCCACCACCATTTCTTCGAAATGTAACCATGGAGGCTCGAAGGGAATACTTCTCGATTTTAAGGAACATGACTATAACTATTGCTCAGCAAAAGAAGGAGATAGAGGAGTGGGCGCAGAAAAATAATGTTGCGGTATGTCAGCCGAGTTATTTAACAGCATAGCTGAAATGTTCTTTTCAGGAGCAAGTTGCTGAGTTCAACGCTAATATGACCCGACTAAAGGATGAAGTAAGACACAACGTTACCCAGCTTGTCAATGAGCTGCCTCAAGCTCTGCAAAGAATTAATGAAATATTAGATAATGAGGAACAGACACCAATAGAGCTCTTCCAGGCACTTAGGAACCTAACAAAGGAAAATCCGCCTGTACGTTTCTGGAAACTATGCTAACATTCTCGAAATTTGGAAAAATTTATTTGCAGCTTTACCACTTGGCCAAATTTGCAAATGATATGTTTATGAGACCACCACATAGACCATGGGGTGGCTTTAGAGGACGCGAAGGACGAAGAGGATCGCCTTTTGGTCCTGGTAAAGGATTTGGGAGACCAGATTTTGATGGCAGGGATTTGCAAGTCATTGGCCCAGAAGGTATAGTCACAGCTCAGGATGCTGCCAACATTATAATACATTATTTTATAGAAGGACGAAACCGCAGATTCAGACGTGCTCGCTGGTGACCAGCTGCATTTCCCTGCATGATATTCTTACTTGATTGTGCATATTCTTGAACAGAACTGCTGATTATTGGTTTACTCTGCTCATATGCTGTTGCAATAAATAATTGTGACTTTCTCTCAATTATGATAGTTTTATCTTCAATAAATATGAGAACAATGTGATACAGTGAACACTTCGCCTGTAACAAATTGATAACGAAGCTGCAAAACTTTTCAGTGAAAACCAAATTTTGCTCTAGAATTTGTAGGGTATATCAGTTTTAACGGTAGTAAAGTGTTGTCGGGGCACAGAAAACACTTTTGAAGGAAACATATTGGCATATTTTCAAATTCTCATCCCATCCCATCATTTCCCCATCGTTTTTGTCGCTTTGTAAGGTTGTAAGTAGGCACAGCCGTTCAGTACCCTCTTGCGCAGTTACTATCTCTAATTTTGTGCATATCGTGCCCTTTGCCCCAAGGAGCATTTGCACTCACTTTCATTTTATTCTGAAAGTTTAGGTTACAAGTTATGAGACATACTGAACAGTGTCACGCTCATCTCACAGAAACCTTTTCAGATTCTCGCTCAAAGTGACATCAGGATGATCAATGCACTTTGTCATCGTCTTTTTCTGAAGACTTAACATTTGAACGTCAGATTTTTTACAGCTAGAGCGGGGCTCGGCACGAGGTGGGTGAAAATGCAAAAAAAGAAGTCCCTTTAGACTTCTGCCAATTTTTGCGAAGTCCCCTTTGACTCTAGACCATTATCCCTAAAAAATCTCCAAAATACGAAACGTCGACTTAAAAAAACGTCGCAAGTTTCGTGTCTTTTCGGCCGCAAGAACGAAACCCCCTTGCTTTTTATCCCAAAAACGATATCCAGCTTGCTTGTAAGCCACCTGTGCCGAGCCCTGAACTAGAAAGAGATCAACCGTTGATGGTACGTATAACGTCGCTATATCATGCTTATTCCAGACTTCGCAGTTATATATTGGATCGGCCTTTGTGGCTTTTGAATAATGAGGTCAGATCACGACCGGGTCACTAGATTAATATAAAAGTAATGCAGTACAGTTTTTGACATAGGTGGTCTGCACCCACCAAATCTATTATCTGTTAAGGTGAGCACTGCCTTAATCTTGCGTTTTGGATGATTCTGTTGCTTGTCTAGATGGTTGGGCTCTTTTCTGTAGTCGATAAGGTGTTTGATCGGATAGTTCACTTATGTGTTTTCGACTTTTCAGACTCTGAAGAAGGCGAGTTTGCCGAAACGTCAGCCTGTATATTGTGGAATAAATATCTGTACCAATCTTGGACGCTGCTAAAGAAACTAATCAGAAGATTCAAACTATGCCAAGATTTATGGATAGTCGAACATGGATTCTGATCGATATGCAAACAAACCAACGCATAAACTAATCAGTATTTTTCTCCCCGCTACTCATCAAGATTGGATAGGATTTATGTCAAATTGGGATCTTGTGTACTTGTTGATCCCGTACAATAATTGACTTGAACTTGCGTGCGTAAAATGAGTCAGATAACGACGTATAGCCACAGTTCAGCACCAGCTCAGCGGATATAAAATCTGCGCGAGTAAGTTGACATCTACCTATTTTTGCCCCTTTCATCAAACTTCACCTTCGTAGATTTTGTCTTTGACAATGTATCAGAATGAACAGAAACTTGCGACTGAAAACTGCTTTATAGAATGAGTAAAACACTGGCGGTCTTAGCCATCATTGGCGCCGTAGTCCTTGCCCAAATCGAAGTGGAGGAATTTGCTGAAGAAGATGCTGCGGACAATGGATCACCTAGGCAAATACAGTACAAACCAGGAGGCGGAAGGCACCATGGGCATGGACCATCGTATCTCCGCAATGTAACTAGAGAGGCTCGAATGGAGTACTATTCAATTCTGAGAAATTCGGCTCTGACTATCGCCCAACAAAAAATGGAGATCGTCGCGTGGGCGGAAAGGCATGGAGTCGAGGTAGGTCATCTAGTTACTTGGTTGCTATGCTGTAACATCTGTTCCAGGGTCAACTTGCTGAATTTAATGTAAATCAAACTCTAATAAAAGAAGAAACGAGGCAAAATATCACCCTGCTCTTGTCTGTACTACCCTATGCAGTGCAAAGAATGCACGAAATCATAGATAATGAAGACCAAACTTTTGCACAGCAACACCAGGCTCTTCGAAATCTAACGATGGAAAATCCGACTGTAACTTGAAAACGTTCTCGTAAAAAATTTTTCCAACTCTTGCTTTTAGCTTTTCCACGCCGCCAGATTTATCAATGATTTATTTTCGAGGCGGTGTTGTGGAGGCAGAGGTGGTCCTGGACCCCGGGGCGGTCCAAGAGGACCTGGAAGAGAGATGGACTCATCGTTTGCTGTATCTGAAGCGGACATGGAAGGTATATCCAAAACTGTTGGAAACGTCTATGATTTATTGGTTCCCAGAGGAATGAGATCAAGGATCGAAGAATTTCCACGGAAACAGCTGCAATTATTCAAATGATCTTTAAAAAGCATATGTTGATGTATTTCTGTAAAAAATGATTGTCTACCAATGTATTCAGCTTGTGGTTTTTCGGTTATCTGCTATTCTAGATGATGCTACGGTCGAAAGTTCTTGCCTTTGTCAGTAAGCAAAATTTGAAATGTTACTTTTTTTAAAGTGAGTGTTAAACAAGCTTTATGGTCCAAAATCAAATGTCATTATTTCTAAACAGGAGTATCTCGTGGTGTGTCCTTCCGAAATCGCAGATTAGTAGCAATAATAGTTCAATGTAGATGTTTGCTTCATCTTTTTGTCCTTTACTGAATATGTACAGAATATTCGTGCACATATGACCTATCACCACATGATCTTCGCAAGATTAATACTGACCGATAAATTTTGATGCCACGTAAATTATCCGCCGAAATTAGCCAGATTAGCAACAAACCAGTTTGCGGCTGCGCAGTACATCACACTCTTTGTCACAACAGCGCATAGAACGAACACTTCATTTCGATCAGTAATTTATTAAGTCAGCGTCTTGATCTTTATTTTCGAAGTTGAAGTGAGTGGAGAAATTGTGTAAGGATTGATGTGCAACCCAACCGGTGGACATACTTGAGAGTTTAATAACAATTTTACAGGCAGTGCCCGGACGAAAAACTTAATTTTCCCCCAAATTTAACTACTTGAGGCTGTCCGCAACGCTAAATCAGAAAATTCACAAAGCGCGAAAACGGCGAGAACATCTGATTCGCAAACCTTCACAGTTTAAATTTAACCAGGGGAAACGATTCTTGCTTCCCAACTTTCCAATCGTATTACTTGTTATTGGTCGAACGTTATAGCCTCGCACACGATGGCGTGTCTTAGGGGTCCACTTTCGCGTGTCACTGGTATCTTCAAACTCAAACCTTGTCCCGCATGCATCTGAAGTATAAACTCAATGCAGTTATTCTGCCCTCTCCTCAAGCGTTTTTTAGTCCGTCAAGTTAACGTTCTTGGAAATGTTAATCTAAGATTTTTGAGCATTCATCCCAAAAAATTGCTTGTGTCATTTGAGGTAGCTACAAGCAAATCCGGACACATGGAATGTTATGTGAACTGTCTTGGAAGCTTAACCGACAAAGAAAGCCCTTTCCTCAAAGTGACGATTTGAAAGGCGAGTATACCAGCGGAAACAGCTTGAAAAGCTGATCTCAAACATATTCGCTATAGCTGCGGAGCATTCTTTCGAAAAAAATCATGAGCTTGTCTCACGCCAAATTTTAGTGCATAGGACGCAAATTCGTGGTAATTTGCACACAAACCAGTGCTTATTATTTGGTGGGGTTGTTATGCGCATACCGCCATTTTTTGATAGGCCACGCCTCCATTATATATACAAAAAAAACCATTGCAGAAAAACCCTCCGCACAAATAAGATATATTTGAAATTGGCGATTTGAGGTTTATTCACTGGAATGTCCTTTTTAAAAAAGAATCCCTTAAAATGCATGCCCACGTTCTGAGGCTAATAGACCCAAAAGACGTAAAAAGACACTAATGGCAAAAAATTCTATTGGATAAAGATATTCAAGAGCTTTTACACAAACGATAGGAAACATTCAAGCAAAAACTTTCAATTTTTAACTTTTGAAAAATTACCTGCCGGACCCAGAATTCTTCATACCGTTCATAGCAACAATTTCAGCTCGCTTTTATGCTATCACACATGCAAAGCTTCTAAGAATATCAATCTTAGGCCCCGGACAGACTTCACGCGATTTGATCGTCGCGACTGAATCGCGACGAGACAACTGTTACAACATCATTCCATGCCGATCAACTTGCATTTCGGTTGTGATACTTTTCCAGACCGAAATTTTTGAATGTGAAATGAAAATGAATGGAAATGTCGGCGATTGAGTCGCGACGATCAAATCGCGTGAAGTCTGTCCGGGGCCTTAGACAGTGGTATCCCCTCGGTCTCACTGGTAGTGTCTCCGAGAAGCTTAAGGCAGTGGCTCGGCAAAACCAAACATCTCGAAATTTTGATATGGAAGGTTGCCTGCATCCCAAGCATCAGAACAGAGCAGGTCCGAGCGCACTACATACTTCCCCTGCCTAGAAAAGCGCCCCTAAACCCGTGCGCGCTAGCCATTCTTACACGCGCTCGGACGAGCTCGCGGTCCCCCTCCCACCGTCAGAGGCGGCATGCTGCAACGCTAGTGAGGGTCCCGCAACGACTCTACGTCTCTAACCATCTCAGACAATTCTGCGCGCAAGCGGCGCGCACTCACGGCCAGCAGGGCAGGCGGCGGGCCGTGATTTGTGGGCGTGGCCATGTAGCGCACAGGCGGCGCGCACTGATTTCAGCCAACAGGCGGCGCGCAATGCATGTTCGCAGGCGGCGCGCAGACACAGTGTGCGTGCAGGCGGCGCGCAATGAACTTTCTGTAGCATCACGTAAGCGAGGAGAGACGCTTGTTTTCACGCGCAAATGCAGAATCTCTTGCAGAATCGTTTCTCCTTGTTTCTCTGTGTTTGTTTTTTTTGATATAAAGTGTTGTGTGTCTATTACCTTACTTTTACGCTGTTTCACCTCTTTTTCTATTTCTAGATTGTTTTGAGATCAAGTAAGCGATCTTTTGCTTTTTTGTAGCAAGTTCCCTTTTATTTTATCAAAAATCACTCTTGTTTCTCATATCGGTCTTGCATATCTTTTATCCTATTTACCTCTGGTTCCTAATCATATTGACCCCGTGACACAGGGACGCTCATTTTCAATCAATAACGCTTTCTTGCGTCATTGCGCCTCCTTCGTTTCTTTCCGTAGCCATTTCTTTCTCTTCTTTTTTCACAATATAAAAGCAATGTTGAATTCAGGTCACAACTGCCATAGTACAATGATGGCTATGTGTGTGCCGCAAAAAGTCAACCTCAAAAGAGTAAGTCCTGTTTTTTGAAGCCAAAGTAGGTATTTTGTCTAAAAACATGTTAATATGTTTTAGCCACCAATCTACAATGACCCCAAATACCAAGAATCAAAACAATTTATGGTCGTGGACCTCAGCCCTGACTAAATATCTTGAAGAGGTGAAAAATTGCATTTTTTCTGTATTCGTCGAAATTTTCGTTGCTTTTTCTTTTCAGTTTGTCAATAGCCTGTATTTCAGCGCCACAGCAAGTGTCTAGGACCGATTGGTGGAATCAACCCTTGATAGAGCAAAGACCATTACGCGAACTAACGAGGACGAGGCTGATCCGGATTATTCATGTCTCATCCATCCCAATTCTTATTCTTATACCCTCATGTCACCATTCAATTGTTTAATTCATGTGGTTGAATTGGGTATATGAAGTCTATGAGCATTTAATTCTGGCTGATCAAGCATCCCCACTTTTTGTTCATTGCTATCGCATTTTCATATTCTATTCCGACAAAACTGTACATATATTATGTATTTATATCTGTGTATATCTGTCCAGGTTATTTATCAAAGTATTTAGTGATTTTATTGGCGGTTATTTCAAGCTATGTCATCATACTGTTGCATTTGTTAACCAAATTTACTGTATTCATTACGTCATGCACACGTCTTGGATATCACATCTGAATGTAAATGCGTTGTTGATGTTGACTTTGAAATATCTGTGAATTTGTAAGTACTAAGTAAGCTAAATAGTATTGAATGCCAGATGTCAAAGACAACCTTATCCTGTAAATACTGTATTTTTGTTGCAATTTGTATTAAAAACCTGTCAAATTTAAAAATTGTAAATATTATTCGTTAATAAATTAGTTGTGAAACCATATTGTCCAACAAGAACAAGATATTCAGACCGACAACGAAAATCCGAGCAGATTCCTGCCAAAATTTTTCCCGTAGCGCGCAGGCGGCGGGCTATCAATACATAGGCGGCGCGCACTGCACACACAGGCGGCGGGAAGGTACATCGCTCGCTGACTCAGTGCGCGCCGCCTGCGCGCAGATTTGTCTGAGATGTCGGGGAGCCGTCCACTCGTCCAAATTCAAAATGAAAACCCTCGGAAAATGCTGGTTCTCGACATTTCCGTACTCTTCAATGTGGATTTTCGGAATCAGGCCTCGAATTCCCCAGGTAAGCGGAAAAAAAACTTCAAGTCGAGGATCTGCCGAGCCACTGCCTTTAAACATGAAAGGTTTGGCGAGTTTCAATGGATGGTTAGGCATGAGAAACGATCAATGTACAAGGATACGGTGCATCACCCAGGAGAGGCGCTACGTGTTGGAGCCGCTCGAATCGGCGACCACTACCAATAAAACAGAGAGCAGAATTTATTTTACAGTATGAGATGGTGCAAAACCGATTCCATGACAGAGAAAGTTGAAAAGAAATATAGTAATTTTTATGAACGCTAGGCTATTGGCCTTACGAAAAGAAAGCTAAAAAGACCATACCAGTTGGCCTTCATTTTACGATGAAGACGCATAATAAAGATTTTGCAGGATACAGGAAAACGCCTTTTCCTACAAGTGTACGAAGTAAGACTTTTGAGTCGAAGTATCTTATCCCAACAAGCGTCATACACAATGGCTGTCTCCATAAGTTCATTTTAAATCGACCCATGCTTGCTGAGCGGTTCTTCGAACAAAGGTAGAGAAAATCAAGTGTGACTGATTAAATGAACTGTCGCTCAACGTCTTAACTTTCATTTTCAAAGTGCCTGTTAAAATTGATGTAGTTTTTCAGCAGTTTTGCATTTATCGTGGAATTACTTTATTTGGACTGTCCAACGAGCTTTCCTCATGTATCACCGCGGCACAACACCCTGCGCGCGTCTTGCTTCAATCGCTTTCTTCAAGGAACTCAAAATTTATAGTTGCTTTTTGGAATTTTCTTCACAAAATCTCCATATTTTGAAACGAACCTGACTCAAAAATATTCTCGACAATTTCTGCAATCGATATGCAAAAACTTTCGATTTTTTCATCAAAAAATCTCCATATTCTAGAAGTTTTCAATAATCTCTGCCACGGATATACAGAAATTTCCGACTTCAATGCTTTGTTCTAGAGCATTCATTGCAACTTCTTTCAAACACTCTCTATATTTTTGAGAAACGAACCTAATTTAAGGATTTTTTAACAATTTCTGCAACCGATATACAGAATTCAAACATCTCCATGTTTTAAAATCGCGTGCCATACAACCGTTGCCTCAGGCGAGAACTTAAAATTTGCATGGAACTTAGTTAAAGTGAGCTTGGCACTTTAGAGAGATTCTTCCTAAAAGGCGTCATGATGGTGCTAAACGAGTTTTAAAACACTTGCCATGCACATAGAGCACCGGTATATCACCGAATGAAGAAAGGCCAGGGGCATTTGGATTTAAAAAGGGCAAAAAATTCTCAGGCCAAATTTTATGACGAAATGAATCGGCATTTAAACCCGCTTTGTGTGTGCCTATGGGAAGCTGACGTACTTTGCGTAATCTTGAGGCAGGAAAGTGTCTTCAACTTCGTTTACACTGTTCAAAATGTTTGAAGGTAATTTGCAATCGGTGTCCTAACCTCCTAAATTACTCATCACAGCTTATCAAAAAAGTTTTCTTCAACTCGTATGCCCCTTAGCAGGGTTACAGCTGGGCCCACAAATATACACATCCGACTCTTGTCTTATCATTATCATTATATTGAAAAAATTATACTTTTTATGAGAAAATTGCATCTGAAATCGCACTCATTTTGTAAGACTGTGGTGCAAGAAACGATTTTCTCAATGAAGCCGCAATAACATTATAAAATTGCCATGTATTAATGTAACACAGTGTTAAATCGTATACACATGTACATACGATCCTCAATTACCTCAATTTTGAAAAAACTTGCCAAGCCTGCCGTACCTGAAAACGTTGTTGAACTTATGAAGACAGCGTGACTTTGTCATCTAGGTATACCAAATTTTTTGACGTGAAGTGTTAGAAGGACTGTACGCTTCGCGAAACCTGTTATCACCATTGTATCGTCATTTCACCACTCTTCAGTCTTTTGAAAGACAAATTTAGCCGTTCTAAATCTTCTATTGTTACTTCAATGCATGCTCGGCCAGCAAATTGACTGCTCTCTTCGCGCAAAAATGCCAAATGAGCTCATCCACGAAGCATTGCTGCGCGAAAAAACCATGCTTAAAGGCAGTGGCTCGGAAAAATTGCGGGCTTTCCACGATTACATGGCCTTCTGGACCAGCTGAGTCCGGTACTGCGCTTGAAAAGTCAAAAAAGTACTTTTTTGGCGTTTCGAGATTGCTGGAGGGCGGGGCGAGGGACACCCCTAGAGGAGCAACTGGCTGCTGGAGATTGTAACTCCACCTTTTGGCGGCGATTGGCTGATCAGCCTAGGCAGCCATCGCGATACAGTTTGCCGCCACAACAGGTGGAGTCACAGTCTCCAGCAGCCCGTTTGCTCCTTTTGGGGTAAATCCCTCGCCCCCGCCCTCCAGCAATCTCCAAGCACCGGAGCGGAAAAAAAAGCACTTTTTTGACCATTCAAGCGCAGTACCGGACTCAGTTGGTTCAGAAGGCCATGTAGTCGTGAAAAACCCGCAGTCGCAATTTTCCAGAGCCACTGCTTTTAAACAATAATCACAACTCTCACATGTCTTTTACACCTGGCGCTTGAGCATAAAGCACATTGAAGGCAGCGTCCAGACAGATCTGGACCTATGGGGCTTTTACGTGGAAAGTACTTTTGGGGCCCTAACTAAGGCACTGCCCAAGCGGCAGCTCAGGTAGTGCTCTAATGGCTGAGATATTCCCCTCGAAACCGGCCCCCGCGAACGTATTCGCATGGATTCATGGCAGTTTCGCCCAGGATCCACGCTTTGCGCCATGAATCCATGCAAAACACGGTCGCGTGGTCCAGTTTCGAGGGGAATATCTCAGCCATTACAGCACTTCCTTAGCTGCCGCTTGGGCAGTGCCTTAGTTAGGGCCCCAAAAGTACTTTCCACGTAAAAGCCCCATAGGTCCAAATCTGCCTGGACGCTGCCTTCAATGCAATAAGCAGTAAACACAAAATCAGCTTATTGTTAGAGGAGGCAAACATTCAGTTTTTTATCGATTCCTTCAGCTATTTACTTCAACAAGAATGATTTTTCTCAATTTAAACACATGTGTTGCAGTATGGATAAAACGCTACTGTTCTTAGCTATCATCGTCGCCGTCGTTCTTGCTCATAGCGAAGAGAGCGGACATTCAGAAGAAGATGATTCTGACGACGACGAACCCAATGAACCACTCTTCAACGGAGAAAGAAGCCATCATCATGCACGTATACCTCCCCCACCACCATACCTCCGCAATGTTACAAAGAAAGCTCGAGAAGAGTACATTACAATTTTAAGGAACATGTCTATGACAATCTCCGAACAAGATCGGAAAACTCATGCTTGGGCGGAAAAATATGGAGTTGCGGTAAGCTTCTCACAATCAGACAGCTCAGTCATTTTTGCTATAAACATCTTTCCAGGATGAATTCGCTCAGTTCAATAGTAATATGGCTCGACTGAAAGAAGAAATAAAACGTAACATAACCCTGCTTATATCTGAACTACCACAGGCAGTGGACAAAGCTTTTGAAATCTTGGAAAATAAAAACCAAACTTTCTTACAACTTTTGCACACTTTTGGAAATCTGACAAAAGAGAATCCTCTTGTAAGTCAAACGATGATTTATTAACTGACATGTACCACAAAGGTTCTCGATTTCAGCTCTACCGCGCTGTAAATTTTATTTATGATATTTTCTATCTAAGGGCGTTTGCAGCCCATGGGATTCCAAGAACATCGGAAGTAGTATTGGAAAAATCATCTTCTGCTACCGAAGACGTGGAAGATCAAGTGTTGATGGACAAGATATACAAACTCTTGAAGGATAAGGTAAAAAATGCTACTGAGGTTTTCTTGTAGTTTTGAGTTGCTATTTAGGGAAACGACGTCGAGATCAAACGAGCAGTATCGTAGTAGCTGATACGCATAAATTGTTGGCGGCCATTATCAATCCATGGATTCTCTCCACCTGTGCTGATTAACCTAATAACGAATAGTGGCAGGATTAACCTAGTCGGGCATTGCTGTTACAAGATATACAAACCGCCGACTGCCTTACAGTCGTACTTTCTTGAAAGAACACAAGTTTTCATTACTTTAGATTAGTCTGTTTTCGTATGAAGAAAACCAATTTGTAGAAAAAGTTTTTGTGTTTCATTGTTTTTATACTAAAATACTGGGACAGCGTATTCCTAATTACCTTTCTTCCCTCATCCATAATAGGCATAGGCCCGTAGTAAACCCCCCATCAGGGCATCTCTCTCGACGCGGGCCGGCGTTGATCTCATCACGCCTCAGTCTAGCATCCGGCGAGCCATTGATCTGGATGCGGATCGCTTCCGAGGCATTATCGTCCTTTCACCCCGTTGTAGCGGGCACGCAGCCTCGGACGCTCTCCCGCGAAGCGGTTTTGACCGCGGCGCTGGGTCGATACGGCTGATCAGCTGTTCATCCGTCCGCTGCCACAGGAATTGATGAGTTTTGGATAATTTCTGTATCAGGTTGCAACAAAAGGATGGAAGGTAAGTCGGGAAAGTCTTTAAGTATATTTGTAAGTGAAATCTTGATTAATAAACGAAATTTTGAAGAAATCGGCCTGACATTGCGCTTAGATTGGATAATCAGCTTTTTCAGCGAACAACTCACTTATAAATGAACTTAACAGACTTCGGCGACTCACCTTCCATCCCTTTGTTGCCACCTGCAAGCAAAAATATAAAGGAATTATCAAAAACTCACCGATTCCTGTGGCGGCGGACGGATGGACAGCTGATCAGCCGCATCGACCCTGCGCCGCGGTCAAAACCTCTTCGCGGGAGAGTGTCTGAGGCTGCGTGCCCGCTACAATGGGGTGAAAGGACGATACAATCGAGTGCGTTCTTGAAAAAAAAACCACTTCAGCTGGTTTGGTCAAACGGGTAAGCGATTGGTGTTACACGCGCGGGGCAGTGGTTCGACTCCGACTAGCGACACACCTTTTGATGCATCGCTGGGCAATCTTTGATAGCGGCCACTACGCAATCGATGATGACCGCTATCAAGGATTTCGCCTAGCAAATGCACGGATAAAACAAAAACACAATTTGTGACGAAAATTTTATGAAAAAAACGAAATGGTTGCAGCGAATTGTTGTTGTTGCTAAAAAAAAGTTGCAGCAATTCAATAAAATGAATAAATAAGTTCTTGTTTTGGACAGCTAGTGAAAAAAAACCAGTAGGGTTTATAAAAAAGAGAAGAATTTGTTTTTTGTTATCCTCACCAAAATCAGCTGTTCATCGATCCTCTCCTTTTCGGGCGCGGTTGTGCAGTTCTGCGCCGATTTTGTCTGCATTTTTAGCCTAACTGGTGTGTATCGTAAGTTACTCAGGAGCAACTTACGGGAGTCTTGTTTGCGTTTCCTCTTTTGCACACTATTTGCATCACTCTAACATCAGTTCACGTTCAGGTCACTTGAACGTAAACTGATGTGCACGAGCTGACTACAGCAGGTGGACAGATGGTCAACTATCAGTTCACTCGCCATTCTTATAGCATGTGAGGGTGGGCGGTCATTAGTTCACCTGACGTGAGGTGAACTGATGGGATAAGTTCAGTTCACCTGAACTGATCGAGCTTTACTACGGGCCATAGAGTTAGAGAATATATTTTGTAGTTTCATTATCCATTTATTACACTATCACCAGACAACGCTTTGATAAGTAATCTACCAAAATTGGTTATCATTGTACGGCAACAAATCGCTTTGCTGGTGCGCACTTACAAACCAGTAGAATCTTGGCTGTGACCGCGTAAAGATTTATCACATTGTCTTGCTCAGCGTAAAATTTCTGACAAAGCCGACCTTTTCTCAAAAACATGCAGCATATAGGGCTTATCAAAATGAGTGTCGTTTGCACCAGCATCTCCATCTTCGCGCTGGACTCTGCGTCTCTTCCGCGGAGCTGCTCTCTGAGCACTTTCCCAGGGCCAGCGTGGGAAAAGGCGGAGCTTCAATCGACTGGAAATGATTAGGGAGCATGTACCGTAGAAGAGACGCAGAGTCCAGTGCAAAGATAGAGATGCTGGTGCAAACGACACTCAGTTTGATAAGCCCTATAGCTATAATGGTATTGTCTTCTCTTGTTGCTTTGATTTGTTCGTTAGTCCTCGCAAGAAGTAAAGGTTTTCAGAGAGTCGATGGGATACCTCCGGAGCAGAAGTGGCAGGGTCGCGCCATATGTCCGCCGGAGGTATTCCCTTAACTGTCTGAGTCACTAAAAAGAATTCATGCATTCGTCCGACGGTTTTAAAAAATTTGATTGCAGAAAAGGGTAAGTAGACCACAAGTCAAAGGACAGCTGCATTTCCTACTTTTTTATTTTTGTTTTCGTTCCTTTTGCTGTAATATGTGTTGTTCTCGTGCTCGATACAAAAACATCTCAGAACAAAAATTGATTGTCACGTTAACAATTGAGAGCGCTAAATTAAAGTCCTCGACGCTACTAAGCAGATTGAAAAAAACGTTATCCTCCCATTCTAGGCAAGAAAATGTATAAAGTTTAAAAAACATGTAGTAAGACTGTGAAGGATCGGGTTTCTAGCCACGTTTCTTACTTGATCATAATGTTGACCTCGGCTGCATTGCAAGTGTGAAAGTAAACCAAAGGCTTTTTGACGAGATACTATACTTTTAACGAGGAATGCGTTTGCAAGTTTGCAAGCGAGTGAATGCGTGCAAGACCAATTACAAATGTCCTACAAGGTTCGGAGTTAGAGAACAAAGCGCAAAAAGTGAAGGCGCAGAAGAGCCGAAGTGAAATTTTAGGGATGGATGGATCACTACGTAATATAATTTGGAGTCGTTGTTTAGCCATTATTACCCCTGATCCGTGGAACACGGCAAACGAGGAGGCAGCAGACGGAGAAATTATGATGAAATGTACTGATCTTTAACTTTGGACTGTTGCCAAATGGCATGCGTTTTGGAACGCTGCCAAATTTCAAAACGAGTGACCAAGCATATTTTCGTAAAAGTGTCACACTTATTTCGAAAGGCAATCATGGGTGTCGCAATGATTTTGAGACTGGGTCGCCAGTATCCGGGTGTGTTATTTGTACCTGCTTTTTTCTCGAGCTTATTATCCCAGAATGGGTCTTTCAAATATGTTATACTCCTATTAGTTGCTTTTGAAATGATGCCAAATTGCGTGACAGCGTGACCTGAGCTAAATTCATCTATGTTCTCAAATCAGTCACTTTAGGATTGTGTTGCTTCCGCGTGTAGACAAGAGAGTGCGTGAGTAACTTGGCCTCGCTAGTGCTTTTGAAAGCGTTTATCTAACAACCAACCTTGCTTGTGTAACTGGGTCCCGCTGGTGCTTTCAACTAGGTATCGGTGTGTAAGCGGCACGTAGGGCAACTCGATCGGGCAGGGAAACAGATTTCTGTGCGTTTAGGGCATCTCAGAATTGAAAGTTCTGAAGTGACATGTAAAGCAATTTGAGAATACGCTGTAAATGCTTGAATTCGTTGTTTTCTTTTTGTTTGAGTCGTAGTTGGTTTTCGGTCTTCAAGCGGCACATAGGGCATAATTTTCCTTATTAAATAGTTACTATTGGTTTGTAAGCGGCATGTAGGGCAATTTGATCAGACTGGGAAATTTTTTGTATGTTGATTGACGGCCTTTAGGTGGCTCAGTAGTCGCGCTTTTCGGGGAGGGATCTTCTTTTGTAGTGAAACTTCATATTCCTTTGCCGAAAAAATTGAAAGATCCTCTGAAAAAGCTCTTACACGATTGATTTCGTTGCTGTCGGAATTGATTCTGAAAGAAAAGTGTTTTTCGTAGTACACATTATTGTAATGGATGTATTTCTACTTCCCAAACGATAGGTGTTCTGCTACTTCCTTAACGATGGAACTTGTTGAGAAGAACTGGAAGAGCAAATTCTCTTTGAGAGGGTAGAAAAGTGGGGGCGGGGTTGTTTATCTGAATGTCTCTGTGAGGAGGGGAAATTTGTAGAAAAAGCGTGGTAAACGAGAGAAAAAGAATATTCTCCATTGTTGTAGCAGGGATTTTGAGAAATGCTTTTGTGGAAATTATCGCTTCTTCGCGCATTTCTCCTTGTGTAGAATGCTTTTCGCAAAAATGTTCTCAGGAATGGAATAGGAAACTTATTTAGAAATATTTATAGTCACAACTAAGCCCTTATATTGTATCTGCCCCGCCTCACTTGCTAGTTACGCATATCATAACACAACTGCAGCGGGATTGTGGAAAGTCATCCATTGCGTTTATAAATTATTGATTTATTCGTTCCCTAGGTTCGTAGCGTTTTTATAAACCAACAAAACCATCAATTTACACTAAAACCGATCAAAATTATATTCATCGTTGTAGCGCACGACCTTTGCGCGCATTCTTGTTAGCTTCTCAACAATTTTTCAATAAGTCATCTAACCAGCGCTCAAACTACTTACCGAAATTAAAACATGCACCACTCATGAGGTTTACTATAAAGCGGAGTAATTGATAATCTGATAGAGTGAGATTTGGAGAGCACTATGGGTACTGATGTACCTTCCAGTCGAATCGTGTGGGACAGTTTTGACTACGTTTGCCATATGAGGCCATTTTTCGTAACGCAGAAAATCTCACTGGATGTCTATTAGGCTTTTTCTGCGGTGAGACCTGGTCCAGAGGTGCGGTTTGACTGCTTACGGCGTGGTTGACTATCGCCTACATATACAGCAACTGGTGTAGAACGTCCTGGCCGTCTCCCAAAAAGTCTTGTTGAGGGACACTCTGTTCAGTCCCAGATCTTTTGTAGCGATCCAACCCTTTTTTGTTTCACATTGATGTGCGAACGCCATGTTCCAAATCTACAAAAAATCTGTGCAAAAACGCTTCTTTTTATAAGAAAAAAATGCGCGAATTTCGAAATTGCTCGTTTTTGCCTTTCAAGATTTCCGTCGAAGCTACGAGATCTGTGTGAATCAATTTTTAACCGGAATAGTAGACATATTCTAAAGAGCACAATCAGCACTTCTCAATGATATACGCACCTTGCCGCAAATCCACCACTCCTCAGAGATATGAAGAAGAAAATAAAAACGCTACAAACTTATGGAACGACCCAATATAATGTCTGTTTGCAACGCTTTACGTTTGCATATTATTCTGCTGATAATCGCAGCGCTTGCTACAGTGTGGCCTAATAGGGACCAGGCCGAAATGTGTGAAGGGCGTTCGTAGCGCTAAGGGTTCGCGCCGCGTATGCACACTGTCGGAGAGATTGAAGAAAGGTCAAACAAGCAGACGTGGGCGTGACGCAAAACCCTAGCGACGCAGACTTCCGCCCTGATAGGCCTGATCACGACTGGAGCAGACTATACCTTCATGCCTGGCCTGGGCATCACTTGTTATGAAACTTGCTGCCATTTTCGCATTTTCTGGGATTTTTTACAAAAGAAAAGAAGAAAAGCAGGAATTAACTCGGAAGCTCATAATGTTCTTATGTGTTAAGAGTTTGACCAAGGCATTTCCAATCTTTTCACTGACAGTTGAAGACTGCGAGCTCTGCTGCAGATAACTTTTAGTCTGTCTCAAACAGTTGACATCAAAGTATCTTACAAGGGAAAGTTCCCAAATCAGCTCGGCCAACCCGGATGAGTCATATATCACCGTAACGGGCTTGAAACGCTGACTCCAAATCTGCTTTCCTTTTCTGCGGAGCAACTTTCCGAGGGAAGTTATGAGCGTTTAAATGTCTCAATTTGTTATGTTCAAAGTGGCTTAAGATCAGTTGAAATCTGTAAAACAACACCTAACAGAATTTCATTATCTGTGTTTCGTCTCTGTAATCAATATATTTGATACAAAACTGATAAATCACTTTCATGTGTTTCAGGTCAAAGGTTTCGCCAATTTTAAGCCACTAAATGACAAATTCAAACTTTTAAACGCTCATAACTTCTCTCGGAAAGTCGCTCCGCAGAAAAGGAAAGCAGATTTGGAATCAGCGTTTCAAGCCCGTTACGGTGATATATGACTCATCCGGGTTGGCCGAGCTGACTTGGGAACTCTCCCTCGTTAGTGGATGCAAATCGTAAGTTTAGCATGACAAGCTTATAAATGATGTTATCAAAGACAGAGATGCAAATTTGTATAAGAGAACTCGATAGTTATTTTCATCATTTCTCCAATGTTTACAACCGGTCACCGTATAAGTCAAAATTTATTCAAAATCTATAAGGAAGAAGTAGTATGAGTTTTTACAAGTAATCTGTTTAAATAAAGCCTAATGTTTGTTTGCCTGTCTGTGTGCATGTCTGTACTATGTTATAGAAATTTTTATTTCTGGACAGATTTGACCAACTTTGGAGGCAGGACTGGTGTCTACTCTTCGTTATCGATCGATATCGATTTTATTCTTGCAAACATCTGTGAGGCTGGGAGTTGGCATAAGGAGGTAAAGGCTATTGCATGTCAAAAGCGCAGAAGCAGTATTACTTGAGCACGTGCGCACGCGACGCGCGCTAACCTTGCCGTTTTAGATCCTGCGCCTCACACGCTCTACGGCTAATAAAGCTGCGTTCGCGCCCAAAGATATTGCGCCTTCGTTATGCAGCAGGCTATAAATGAGCGTGCTAATTACGGAAATATTATTGGACCGGGCAAAGCCGGGTTTGCCAAGGATGCTCTGCGAAAGCGAAAGACGTAAATGAGAGTTTTGCTTTCGTGAGAAAGGTTTTGGTCGACAACGTGTTATATAGTTGTGTTTCTCACTAAGCAGAGGTAGGCAGAGTTGATGATTCCAAGCAGATATGGACATTTTCAATTTTCTCAAATCTTGACCTTATAGCCGTTTCTACTCTTTGCTTTAAAAAGATCGGCGGCTGGAAGGCGAGGCTCCGTGACCTAATTGAGGCTAAATGGTCTAAGAGCATGTTCGCGAGGGAGATGGAGACTGCTTAGCGGACGCGAGCAGTATTCTGCTAGGTCATGAAGCCCCGCCTTCCAGCAACCAAACTGGGAAGCAAAGAGTACACGCAAATGCATTTAGTTGCCTTATCCAAAATTTTGAGCTGAGATGCACCTGACAAAGCGGCGAAGTTTCTAACAAGGCAACATTGATGGTACTCGTGCCAAGCTGCTGGATATAAGGTGTACACAATAATTCTTACTCTTCTGATTCAAAAGTAAGTAATAAATACCGTAGCACGTAAGACCCTTCCGACCATTTCTCTTAGGTTGCGTTAATGTGATCCCGAAAATGCGGATCAATATGAACGCAGCCAAAAATGGAAATGGTCTGAAGCTGAAGTGGCAAATTCATACAAATTACACACCATTGTGCAGCCTAGAAAGCTGGCTCCAGATCTGTCTTTCGTGTCTGTTAAAGCTTCGGACAATGTGATGAACGGTTTAATGCGGAGAAATCGTATATACAAATGCAATCAGGCACATCATTGCCTTTTGTGTCCAATTGTATAAAGTATACGAAGTACTTAGCTGGATCTTTTGTCCCAGCATTACGCCAAAGATGGATCTATAGGTCTAAAGCGCTTTGCATGCACAATTTCTTAATAAGACTGCTCAAACCCTCTCCATAGAGAGCAAATGCGTCACATCGTTTTATTTTCATCATTAGCGAAAAGATGAACTCAAAAAAATTATACAATAGGCCCGAAAGGTCTGATTTACTATTCGACTGGCTAACGCAGCTAGAACGGCTACGATTTTTACACTGAATTGCCGAATCGCAACTCGCTCAAAAAATAAGGAGTAAGTAATTTTGAGAGAACTTTTCAAGTGAGGTAGCCTGAAAGTGATTAATGCGATGGTATTCCCTTGACTCGGCTTGCTCTGGCAGCGCATCACTCGTGGCTTAATTCGATATTCCCCAAATCACGCAAAGTGATGATCTTTGTAAACGGATCTTGGTTATTCGTTTCAGAGTCGACGAGCTTGGAAAATCTGCAAACAATATTTTGACAGAAGTAAACAATCTTTGCAGCTTTCTGCAGCAGCGCTGATAATTATTTCGAAATTGCATTCATAGACATGATTAGATAATTGTTATTTTCGAATATCCTGCTGATAAGTGTTTCAAAGATGAGCGCTATCGTCTAAAAAGGGTTGCTTATGACACTGAGTGTGTGTTGACTGATAAGTCGTGAGTAAACTATCATATCCGAATTACACCGTATGCTGTTATCGTAAACGAAGCATCAAAGTGCAGAATGTAGCAGCTTTGCAAGAGAAGCAGAAAAGAAGTGAAGTTACAAGGTCAAGGTACAAGGAGAAATTCTTACTGTATATATGGTAAAGTATTAATAAAATTCATAATAAGTTGACCCTTGATCTTACGACATTAGAGCAAAATTTGATCAACTTCAAATATAATTGACATGAGTTTGAATGGGCTGAGTAAGGTTTTGTATACGTGAAATTTGGAGATCAAGAAAGGGGAAGAAAAACAGTTGTAAGCGAAGCATAATTACATATTTCGTTGTTAATTGGTTAATGGTATCTGTGTAGGTCGCGCATGAAAATATTAGGTTGTCCCAAACGTAAACTCCATTCTCAACTAAATTCACCTGTTCTTGTTCTCCTAATAGACTTGAGGTACTATTCGATAGAGCGAAGCAAGCCCTACAAAAAGGTCACCGACATCCATTTGAGCCGTGATCCAGCTGAAATTTTTGGCCAAAAATCGAGATTTTTCAGCTACTGTAAAGATCGGATCTCCTTCCAGAGAATTCCTACGGACTTCCAGCTTGGTTTTTATATAATACACATATAGTAGTACCCAAAAATGTTATTTGGCGAATTTTTTCGGAGCTCAAAATTGAGAAAAGAGATGGTCCGAAAATGCCAAAATGCCACTCTTTTCAGGGTTATTATGTAAAACTTGGTATTTTTCGAATACAAGAGCACATACAGGGGTAAGTTTTTGAAATTATACTTAGTAAGGCTTGTAGATACAATGACATAAGTGGGAGGGGCTGAGGGCGGAGTTTGCTAATCTTGGGCAATTCTTGTTTCTCGCTTCCTATGCTTGGAAAAAATTCGGTAAAGGCATATTTGAGTACTACTGGGCGCCTACTATATAATGACCAAGTTGAGGGTCTGTAGGATTCTTTACTTTATCGCAGAATCCAAATTTTCAGGTGGCAACTTTTTTTTCCATTTTGGCTTCAAACTTTACATGGGATGCGGCTTGGACAAATTTGACGGTCATTTTGCAGAGCTTGATATGCTCTATCGAATGATACCCTAAGTTTACAGTAAGAACAAAAACAGCTTAAATTATTCCAAAAAGGAGTTTACTTTTGAGACAACCTAATACAATATTGTCTAATTATAGTCATTACGATTAAACGTTATTTTTGTTTCAAGCAACAAGCCCTCTTCTTCAGCTAAAAAAAGTAATTAGATAAGATCGAATAACAAAGATCGCAGATGCCACACTTGTGTTCTATGTTCTATATTATCAAATGTCCTAAAGGGCAAACACAGTAATGCCAGGAGAGATTCATAGTGTCCATTGATCTGTTTGCATAAAGGGAATGTGTCAAAGAAAAGGAGATTGAGCACAAATCAGAGCCGTATGCAATAATATAAGAACGCTTGGAAATTGGCTATATAACAAATTTTGAATTGCTTATTATTTTCTCAATTTCGCCTCATACATCAAACGCGCATTTTTTGCGGCAATTGAACGTTGTTTTGCAGAATGAACAGGACGTTGACATTTCTCATCGTCGTTAGTGCCGTAGTCCTGGCCCAAGGTGTTATGGACTTTTTCGATGAAGACGGTCGTGAAGAACATCGCCGTCACCATCGTCATTCACTTTTACCACCATATCTCCACAATATGAGCTGCGTGGCCAAATGGGAATACTTCGAGATTGTGGGGGACAGGAGTCTGACGTTTGCTGAAAAGAAGGAAAAAATCGGCGAGTGGGCTAAAAAATACAATGTTGTGGTAAGATTTTGTAACTCCATGTAAAGATACCCCCACATGTCGCCCTGTTTAGGATGAAGTTGCAAGCTACAATGCTTGTAGAGAAAAACTAAAGCAAGAGCACACGAAAAACGTTAGCGAGCTTGTCTCTGGTCTTCCCAATGCTGTGAAGAAAGTAAACGAACTTTTAGACAATGAAAATCAGACTGTTAGGCAACTTTATGTTGCTTTAAGAGAACTTGGTAAACAAAATCCAGCAGTAAGTTAAAGGATGTGCAATTTTGTGCTTAACTAATGAGACAATTTTAGCTCTACCGTGTTGTCGAGTATATCAATGTGGTTGTGAGACTTAGACGTGAAGATTTGGATGAGCAGGAACAACAGAGAACGCTGTCAACCCCACCTTTCGGCGAGAATAACGAAGAGCAGAACCTTGGTGAACAAGATTTTCACTATATCTATGGCTTTGAGTGTGCAAGATTCATCCTTCAAAATGGAAGAATGTTTGGAATCAACACGGATAGAAGATATTGGTAAGATTTGACTGCAGCTCAAAGTGGTAGAGATTGAGCTACCAACCCAACATGCGATCATCACCTCCCATCAGTTTTCCTAGTTGCATTTTGTTTTGATTCCTTCTGCTTCGCTTTGCATTTGCTATGACTTAGTTAGTATAATAAATCGCTTCACAAGAATTTATCCAAGTGGTCAGGAAAATGATTAACTTCGATATATTGCAATGACATATGCATACAAATAATAGCATTTTTCTTTTTCGTTACTCATTATCCATTTCTATGAAGAAGAACTCTCTATCTTTTTTCATCAGATAAGGTTCGTACCTTGTACAGAGAAAGTCTCAACCAAATTGGCGGATGTAGCAACAACTGGCGTCTTATAACCCTATTTCACATGCTTCCATCAGACAGACATCTCTAGCAACAAGCTGAACATCTCTAGATTTTCTCCTTGACGAGCTTCTCATCAATTCAACCAACGTTGAGAATTGTGTTGAGGAATATGTTGAAGTAAAATAGAGACAGAGTAGTCTAAGAAGAATACTTGGTGACCGTGGCCATTTGAAGTGAGACACAGCAGCAGCAGATGCGCCTTAAAGCGCAGACTTCAAATCTGCTTTCGGTATCTGCTAAGCGATTGTCTGACAAAAAGTTATGAACGTTTTTTTTATAAGAAATTGCATAACTACAATTGAGCAAAACTTTGAGTATCGCTCAAATTTATTGCTCCTGTCCTCAGAATTTATTTGAAAAAGATCGCATTCACTTCGAATTCAAATAACCTCTGTCATTTGCATTTAACCTCAAACAAAAACAAGTATTAATCATTTTCCTGGAAGCTCATAACTTGTTTCAGACATCCGCATAGCAGGTAGCAAAAGCAGACTTGAAATCGGCGTTTTGAGGCGCATGTAGTGATTTATGCCCCACTAGCTAGTCTACCCGGCTTCTCCCGGCCCTGTCAATGCTATGATTAAGTCTTATCCCTATCCCTGTAGAAACTTTCATTGTGCCCACTTCTACATGCAATTCCCTATTCCCGCTGTGTTAGTAATTAGCATGCCCACCTACCTCCCTCAACAACCTCCAGCCCCGTCGCTCAAACTTTGCAAAGAAAAAAAGCAATAAAACCGGTAAAAGTAAGCATAATTCTGGAAACTGATGGCGCTAATCGGCTATCTGGCCTCAAAATGTTTTTGTGATGGATCTTGCTCAAAGTCGGTACATGGGGATTATTAAAGCCGCTGATGACGAATATCGTAGTCGTTTCGCGCGATAGCGCCATTTTCAGGGTTTACGTTGGGTACGCATAAGAAGCTAAAATCGTGGATTTCGCTGAAACTTTGAGGGGGCTAACTGACATGCTGATTACGAATATCATCTCCTTCGGCATTTTGAGGCGATTTCACTGAATTATGGTAGATAAACTGCAGATGGGCGAAATCTCAGTTTTGGCTGAAACTCGGTCTAGAAAGATTCGACCTTCTGGCCACGTCTAAAAACACTCTCGATGCGTTTTGAGACCTTTCTGCAGAGTTATGGTAGGTACATGGCAGCGGGTAAAAATCATGAACCTGCCTGAAACCTTGGCAGAAAATTACCTAAAGTGCTGTTTCAAGAATATCATGCTCAATCCCCGCGATAAAGGCAGTTCGTGTGGTATAAAAGTTTACGACCGTAATGCCTTCCCTTGTAGGACCACTGCCGCGCGCGAAACACCCTTCGGCGGCTTTTGCCTAAGCAAAAAGAGGGGGAGGGAGATTTGCCGCGTGCGTTACGCCTTGAGACAGTTTATCAGGATGGCGCTGGAGACCGCCATGCAAAACGACCGTTCCCTCATCTCTTGAATATCTGGGATCTAAGTTGGCCCGAAAGCGAAAAAATGTCCTTTCAAATCCTGCAACTCACCATAACTTCACTATTGCGTTATGACATCGAGCGCATCATATTCACAAGCGATATATTTGTGAACCGTTACAGGTAAGGTTTCGACCAAGGAAAGGCACTATCCTGCGAAATCAGCATTATATTCATGTTCAACGCGCTAAATAACCACACTAGACGAAGTTTAAAACGAATCTATGCTTTCGACCCCATGCCATATAACCATCACAACTCTATGAAAAGGTCCTATGCACAGAGAGAGAGATGATATTCGTAATTAGCATGTCGAATAAGCCATATGGACCGAACTTCAGCCGAATTAATGATTTTGACTTCCTACGTACACCTATCGCAACCACACGAGAAGACGTTCTGCGGAGAAAGTGTGATATCTGTAATCAGCATGTAAAGGGCCGGGCAACTTCACGCGATTTCAGTCCCGATGCGATTTGGCAATTCGCCAGAAGTCTTCGGATCCAACATTAGCAAACTGCACATGCATAGTGTGTGTAACTTACGTGAACTAATAAAATGCCCAACCTTACGTACAATTATAATGTGCTTACAATGAGTTATGGACACCTGGAATATTGCCAAATCGCGGCGATTGAAATCGCTTGAGGTATGCCCGGCCCTTAAGATAACCCTTATTCACGAAGTTTGAGCAAACTCTACCACAAAAAAATTTTGGGGCCCGGATAGCCAAACAGCGCCAAACTTATATCGAACTAGCTGGCATACCCGGCTCCGCCGTATGTTCCGAATAGAAAATTCCATTTCTTAACCGATCCGAACCAAACTTGGCACACATACACTTCGGGCCCCGGCGGGTGTCACAGTCCACTTTTCGTTATCGATTGATGTCGATTTTATCGATTTTTTGCAAAATTTGAGTTAGGGGCTGGAATTTGGCAGAGGATGTAATCGAGCATGCTGATCACCCCCACGGGGGTGATCAGCATGCTCGATTACCCCCCTGTGCCAAATCCCAGCCCCGTAGCTCAAACTTTGCAAAAAATCGATAAAATCGATAAAAGCAATCGATAATCCTGAAATCTAATATTGTATTCGGAATCCCCATGCTCGATTACCCCCCCCCCCCCCTCCCTGTGTCAACTCCCAGCCCCGTAGGTGAACTCCGCAAAAAAATCGATGAAATCGATAAATCGATATCAATCGATGACGAAAAGTAGCCTATGACACCCGCCGTGGCCCGAAGTGTATGTGTGCCAATTTTGCTCCGGATCGGTTCAGAACCGGAATTTTCTATTCGGAGCATACGTACACACATACAGACAGACAGACACAGACATACAGACAGACATTCAGCTTTATATATAAGATGACAGATGGTCATCACAGAATATCTTTCCCTTGTAAGTTGTGTGCTTGGTAAATCTCGTTATTGACATTATTTTTCTACAATCCGCTGGAAATGACTAGGACTTGTGTATGTTGAAGTTTCCGAAAAGGGTAAGATAGTGAGGATGTTTTACACAAATGTAGTGTTAATTTTCCTTCTTGAGAACGGTCAAAGATTTGGTTTAAAAAAATAAAAGTTTCGACGCCTATAAAACGTAGTTGAAACGTACATACCGTAAAATTTTTTTACTCGTGAAAAGAAAATCACTACATTAGAATGATTTCTATCCAGATAACAAGTACTCAACTTTCGACTACAAGGCAAGTGCTTTTAGTCGAAGTGGCCTTTTCAAGTAGTTTCTGCAATGCTGCTGTTTTCCTGCTTCGTCAAAAAATCAGCAATATATCCGCAAGAAATTAGAGCAAGAGTGTTTCGTATAGAAAATGCTGACCAATTTCCAGAACGATGTCAGCAACGCGGATTTTCTGCTGTTTGCCTACCTCCAACGATTATCTGAGTAGAATCACTGAAACCACAACGGTCCAGGGACAATATTGACTGATTTTACTCTTAACATGCGTCCATTCTTCAATTGAACCATCAAAACTCCTCGTTCAGACGCTGCAGCAGATACAAATACAGATCTGGAATCAGCGTCTGATTTTCATAGGAATAGAGCCCATCCAGAAATGCCACTCCAATTAGGGAAATTTTTTGTTAGCCAAAAAACTGGATTCAGACAACTGTCTCAAAGACATTGGTCCTGAATATGAGTCACTTCTTAACTTAGCATTCAACAATCATTTTTGGGTGTTTTATTATAAATGCAAGCCATCGAAAGTGGCATTTTTTTCGCTCTTTTCGCTGCTATTGGCCTTTCCTGTATGAAGCCGATAGAAAGAAGATAACGCTTTAGGTGAGCAAACTCATTAAAGGCAGCGTCCGGGCAAAATTTCGCCTCTCATGTTTCTGCCATTCTGGGGCCTTTCCGTGGCCCTGAATACAGCTGTAAAGTCCAAATTGTTCAACACCTCCAAAAAACCCGATTCTTGGGGACCCTCTCTTCAAGAAGCGGACGAGTTTCGGATTGCTCGTCCCCATCGCATGCCAGCGGGAGGAGCTGCAACTGTACGGATGCAGTTGCATTGCAGTGTGCAGTGCAACTGCAATGCAACTGCAATGCAACCGCACACCTGCGTGAGCACTCGTCCTCAGCGGTGGTTTGTGATACGAAGGGGTAGTTTGTGATACGTATCACAGGCCAGTATCTCCTTTTAGAGGCCACTTCAAAGATTCGGACCAACGCAGATCGGATACTCATGGGCCCCTCTTTACAACTATGTGCTAACCTGGGTGGATGGATCTTGCCCGGACGCTGCCTTTAAGGAGTTATCTGTAATGTTGTAACTCAAAATGAAAAAAAACCTAGTACATGAGGATTTGAAAGCAGTGAAAAATGGTCAAATCGCTTTAGCTTTTGAATGGGCTTCTATAAAAAGAAAACTTTCAAAACTTCAAAGTATTGAGGTTGAAGGCAGTGTCCGGGCAAAAACTCGATTTTGAGATTTTGTGCTTACCCGGGCCTATCTGCTACGCTGAATCCGAAAATCGACACTGGGAAGCGCGAAAACGGGAAAAAAGGGCTCTAACGCAGAAGGGAAATCAAAAGTGGGCGGGGTCTTCCCCAGGGTGAATTCACGGTCCCAGCTCCCGGAGCGATCTTTTCGCTTCCCACTTCAGATCATGCATTCGCACTTGGTCCGCTAAGATGTCAGGGCGGTTAGTAGAATTGAGAAGATCGCTCCAAAAGCTGGAACCTTGAATTCACGGTCCTCAATATCTCAAAATCGGCTTTTTGCCCGGACACTGCCCTTAAGATGCGGATGCGGTGCAGGAGGAACCAAAGACCTGCCGCCTGTAGCCGTAGGAGATAATTAGGAGCGCGAGCGCTGAGGAGGAGATTTTGGCAAGGATCCAGAAAAATGAGGAGGGGACATCCATTAGAAACAAACTCTTATAACTCTTCTTAGAATTAACATTCATGTATACGAAGGACACATCTGAAATCAGTATTGAAATATTTTTTTTAGTAAAACGCCTACCTGATAGAGAAACTACTCTGTCTCACGAGTCCTATTTTTACCAAAGAGTGAACCTTCAAAATTCTTGAAGAATTTCAGGTTCAGTGCTGTGTCTAAGATTTTAAGTGAATTTTTTAGGGGAAATTTCTGGATGGGAAGTTGAAAGTAGGGAGTGATAATCAGGAAATAATGTTAACTAAGCTGTTGCATGTGATAAATTGATGAACTTTTGATAATGTGTATAACCTCAAAAAGATTACCGACATAGTTCCAACGGCAAAGCTTTGAAATCTCTAGTGTCAAAATTTGAAATTAGAATAGGTTTGAAGTTATGAAAACTTTAACTGCATCTTGATATAAGCCTCCAGATGTGTCCTCATGACATTTTGATTGCTTTGGTTCTATGAATCAAAAGGCAAAATAATCCTTTATTTCGAAGAAAAAAATGAATTTGAATGAAAATCCCGGTCTTTTCAACAATCTGTAATAAATTCATAAAACAAAAAGTTTGTATAAGAAAAGTAACCTTTCTTACCATTATAATACCAAATTTTCACTTAGTTCTAGGCCTAGTGAATGCGCCTGCCAATTTGCATTATAAATCTGTTTTTCAAAATTTTCAAGACCATCCCCAGGCAAAGTTATGAAGACTTGTTCCGAAGGGATATCTTTGCCAAATTTTCTTGGATCCTTGCCAAATTGTCTCCATAGCGCTCGCGCTCTTAATTATCTCCTGCGGCTACAGGCGGCAGGCCTTTGTTTCCTCCTGCACCACCCCCTTAAGATGCGAATTGGCTCGCTGTCGAAAACTTAAAATCTTTCATAAACGTGAATTTTTTGCTGATGAAGCACAAGAAAGGAACGTACGAAAATTGACTATGGCCCTTGCTGCAAGTCTCCGTAGTTTGCGAGAAAAATAATATATTCTCGATATGAGCCGCTCACCTCCTTTACGCAAATTCCATACCAAGTTTCGTCGCACGTCCTCCCTTTAGATTATGTAAGCTTGATAGAGATGGAGTTTTGAAACGCTCACCTTATCCTGGTGATCAGCGAGCGTTCTGTTCATCAATCTTATCCTCCTCATAATACATTTAGGGAAATGAGAAATTCATTTTTTCACTTTTTGTCGGCAGTCAATTTATCAGGATTGCAACTGCAACACAGCTCATATTAATGCTCATGTGAAAAAAGGCGAACCCACATTGACACCTAATTAAGCTTTTCTTTAGAATCGTGGAAAATTTCAAGTACAAGGTTCATTTCAACCAATAGCCTGTCCTTTTCATGATTTTCTTAATGCATAGCAGACACAACCTCAGTTTGTGTCGGACTGGTAGGATGAGATGACTGACGTGTGTTAAGGGCCATCTCATTTGCTGTGGCATGCTCAGAATGCTATAGTTAGATTAGAATCAAGTAAACTTTGTAACATTTTCAGCAGATGCCTACATATTGACCTCGCGTCAGCTCAGGCGAATTTCTGCACAGTCTCTCCGGTACAGATGACTATGACTGTGAGAAAACCATCATTTTTAGAAAATGTCAGAGAATACCTTTTGATTAACTTACCACCATATCAAATGCAATATATCAAATGCAACCGGCAGCCGCGGTACCACAAAACATTAGCTGTGACAGGCTAGATCAAGACGTAATAAGATTAGAAATTTTTTCACATTAAAGGAAGTTATGGCGACAAGAACACGATCCTAAGTGGAAGTCGCTCTGAAACAGTGAACTGCAATGAATTTTGCCTTCTTTTCTACTTTATATCGAAGGGATTATGGTTTATGTATAGGACTTCGATACGATGAATAAAGACCGCATGCATTAACATCCCCCCCCCCGGTGGAAGGAGATAGCAGATCAAAAGAAAGCTTCATATCTTGAAGCTCCAGATATCTGATTTCACGCTCTCTACCTATCCGTAAGTATCCCTACCATCCTTTACTAAGAACATACACAACGGAAGCAAGAAGTTGTACAAAAGCATTCTTCACCTTTTTTTATGATCCCTTAATTATACCGGAGGCTGACGGTCTTCCATTCAAATTCCGTAGTTGTACCGATTATATAACACAACACTGCTAAGCATGTTGCTGATGAGAACAAACGAGTTTTTGGAAAAAAATTTTGAATGAACCTCAACTTTCGACCGGTCCCACCAAGCCTCCTACCTTTCGGGGATGTTAAAATGGTACCGGAGCACTCTGGGAGGGCAAGCACACTGACTGTTCCCCCCCCCCCCCCCGCCCTCCCCCCATCACTGTAAAAGTCCTGCACGCATTTGATTACGTTTTAAGAACGCAACAGAACGCATTTCTGCAGAGGTCATTGAAGAAGCGGAATCCTTTATTTTTTATTAGCCTATGTTTTGGGGCTTTACGAAAATTCACTGAATAAATAAACAATTTTTACTGGTAATTCAGCAGACGCGAAGCCAACCTAACAAAATCGATGCAACTGGAAGATAGCTTGCTATAGATGTGTGATTTTCAATTTTATATCAAAATCTCATCTGTGTAGGTAATGAGATTGCCATCATTTGAAGAACTGTCAACATTGCCCCGTTTTAGGTATGCCAACCGATAGAAAGGTCTTCATTTACATCCTTTTGCAAAGGAATGATTCAAGGGACAAAATCGTTGGCTCTTCAAACACAGCATCACCTATTCAAAAAGCTTTGTGTAAGATAAATGATATACAGGTGGTCTCATAATGTTGAATTCGTCAATTATTCTAAGAATGTTAGACATTTTTTGATACCAAAAAAGTCACACATTTACTGTGAGTGACGAATGCAGAATGCAAAGTGTGTTTACATTGCTTCGTGAGCTATCAAAGGCGCTTGTATTGAAAAGCAACGAGATAGATATAAGGGAAGAGAGGTCTGGCTCTAGCAAGCTTCGATTTCAACATTTTCATTATTTTCGTCGTTTCCTAAAATTTGTAGTTCCAGATGAAGGGTGTCATACTTGCACTTGCCTTAATAGCGGCAACGGTTTGCGCTCATCGCGGTTATGGTGGACAAGGAGGCTTAGGATTCCCAAACGGGGGATTTCCCAGATTCCCTGGTGCACCTCAAGGACCAAATCTCCCGAACGGTCCTGGACCAGAAGATAGAGGTCATGGATTTCCTCTACCCCCCTACCTCCAAGGTTTGGACGAAACCGCACGAAAAGAGTACCTTGAGATTGTGAAGGACCGTCAGCTAACTTTCACGCAGCAAAAACAAAAAGTCAAAGAGTGGGGTCAAAAATTCGGTGTCGAAGTGAGTTGTGCTCAAGTTTTGTAAAATGTTGTGACAAAACTTGAATTTCAGGCACAAGTCGTCGAATTTGATAATAAAATGAAGGCATTGAAAACAGAGCTTGACCAGAATGTCACTGACCTAATCAAAAAGCTGCCAAAAGCTTTCCAAAAGATTTCTAGTCTTGTCAAAAACGAGGAACAAACTCCTATGCAATTAGCTCAGGCCATCAAAGATCTCACCAAGGAGGATCCAATGGTAATAATGCCCTATAACTGCGATTGAACCAAGATTGTGCTTGTTTAGGTTTACCACGTACTGAAATTCGCTTTTGATCAGTTCATGGGAAGAAAGCTTGGATTTGGTAGCCACAAAGGACCAAAAGGACCGGAAGGCTTTAAAGGACCGAAAGGACAAAGTGGACCATGGGAACCGAGGAGACCAGGTGGCCCTGGAGGTTTTGAGGGACCAGGTTTTGGAGGACCAGGAGGCTTTGAGAGACCAGGTTTTGGAGGACCAGGAGGTTTTGAAAGACCAGGTTTCGGAGGACAAGGAGGTTTTGCGGGACGCAAAGGATGGCTTTTTTGATTGACTTCGCTCAAATAATAAACTGACTAACCTTAGTTAAATCGTTCTGTTTACATTATACACGGTATCTTTGAATGTGGAGCCCAACCACGAGGGCTTGTAATTAGGGTTAAGCAAGGGGTGCCTCGCACAACCACCGGATTTCATTTTCAAACATGGTTAAAACATATTGCAAAATATTGGGTTACGGTAACATGCTAAGTCTGCGTTACTCGCGCGAATCGCGAGGTAAGGTAGCAAGAATAGATATAATCGATAGCTCAGACCTCATTATCCTCATAAAAATGATTTGAGAACGATTGGTCTTCTTTAGTGTGAGGTATTGAAAATTGAGATGAACGAGATCATGGCTTTTTCATAATTCCATAGTTTGAAGGCTATTTAAAAAAGGATTTCTAATGTGTGCAAAGAAGTAGCAGTTGTACCAAGTGCAAAAAGAAATAGGTAGTTAACTCACTTTTGAGACAAACTTAACATGTACGAAAATGACAATCTTATCTAAGTGGCCCGATTTGGAAACCTCAGAATTCACTGAAAATTGGACACAGGAGTTATCTCTAATGTTGATCACGAAAATGATGCTCTTATACTTTTAGAGAACTTTTATAATGCTTAATGTACGCGATGGTAGGCCAAAACATAAGAGTGCTATATGATGCCTACCGACATTTCCAGTGGCGTACCCAGGATTTCGACTCGGGGGGGGGGGGGGGGGGGAGCGGCAAAAATTTTTTTCAAATGAAGGTGCCACGCACTTCGAAAAATTTTAGAAGGGCTTCTCAAAATTTTTGAGGGCACCTAATTTGAATTTTTAAAAAGTTTTAAAAAATATTTTAATTGCTTACAAAAATAAACAAGTCACTTGCACATTTTTGCAACTCATGTAAGTAACTATCAAAAATTTCGCGACCCGTTCTCGAGGGGGGGGGGGCGCCCCCCCCCCCCCCGCCCTCCCCCCTCGGTACGCCACTGGACATTTCAACTAACATCATGTTATCGCTAACGTCAGTATCACCTTGGTGATGACCCTTTTTTCTAAATCTCACATTATGATCTCCAGGTGTGGCGTGCCCCATCCCCGCCCGGCCCTGTTTGTAACCTATGTAACTATTATCAAAATGCTTTGGTGTTAGACAGCAAACAAGTCGCATTTGCAATGAGTGTGGTACAAACTCAAACTCTGAAATATGACTTACTGACTCACAATTCTACTCTTACTCTAACTGCACTTTTCCAGCATTCCCGTGGAGAGGAGACTTTGAAAAGTAACTACGGATAACTCATCAAGCATTTAAAAATGTATTGTAGCAGGGACTAGTTTGAGACGAGTTAACTTTTACGTGAAGCTCATCAGTTCTTCGAACTAAGCTAGCCGTACATGCTATGCCTTACCTGCAAAGGTCGTAGTTATTTTTGCTCTTTAGATAGCAGGTGGTATAACAAAAATGCTAAAATCAAAGTAACACGGGTAACAGAATTATAGCAGAACTAGATATCTTGTGATGGTCTTAATTGCTTTCAAAATCATAATTTTATTGAAACATTGTGCTTTTGAAGAATAAAGTCTTTTTGTTATGTGGGTTTGTCACGACATTTGGTTTTGTCTTTTGACTGTCAGCGTGGCAATCAGTATATTCGGCGTATTTCTCCATCCTCGCAGCTCGATAGAGCGGACCAAATATTACGAGCTAAAGTTGTCCGTTTGCTTGTCATTCCCATCAGTCAGTCTTGTCGAGCAGCTCAGTAGCGCCTAAGTAATTTTCATCCACTTTGAAAGACTACGACAAGATGAGTGTCTCATATGATTGGCAAGCAGTTCAAGTACACTATGGATTTTTTGTGATAACGAAATGCATTCGCATGGTAAAGTCGATTGCACGAAATGGCTCGGGTCACTATAGGCTGAACGCATGCGAGCGCGCCTGCAACGCGGCTGCCGAGTAAATGCGCTATGACTCATGCGCGCGAAAGCTATTGTTAGCCCCCAATGAACACGCTCGTGGGCATTCACTCCGGTCGATTCCATGCAAACTATACAGTTTCTCGCAAAAAGACTCAAGTAAAGGATGAGAAAGGCCATTCAACATGTTCTAGCCGTCTCCACCCATGGCAGATTTTGGCCAGAGGCGAGGGCAAAGTGATGACATTCTTATTGGAATCGTGCCCAAAAAGTGCTCACTTGTCCAAGGCAGTATGTAGGAAATAATGAAAGATGCTGTGCTTCAGCAGAGTGAGCACATTTTTTTCGCCATGAATTTGACGACCAGACTGGCGAATAAGAATTCGAACTCGTTTTGGAGTGTTCTCGTTATTTGACTAATCACAAAACGTTGTTTGACAATGATGTAGTTGCTCTATTTTATGGGCTTTGATGAGTGTTGCTAATTTATATAATTTTTTGCGTGTCAACAGGAACTGGGAGCGGGCACATAATGTGGCAGTTGTTATCCAAATTCACACAGCAACATATAACTCGATCAAAAACTAACTCAAACAACTATCAAAAGCGCCATTGCTTTCCTTCAGTCCTAATGCTGACATTGAGTGATTATGCAATACAAAGACGTGAACAATGATAATTGTGAAAAATTATCCACAGAGCTGCTTTCTTAAGTGCTTTTTAAAATTTTTTTCAGCATCGAGGAATCTAGTAAAATTCGTGAATTTTTGCACAAGTATTCACGAAATAAGAAATGTAATTGAATATATGGGCCAAAGTTCAAAAAGACCGCATACTGAGTAACCAAATGTCTCGACGCCTTAGCATTAGTCACTAAATTAGCTTTCTGCTCCTTCTGCACATCTCAAAGTTTATTTGTTATATTTCAAAAACATAACACATATAGGCTGCTGCATGATGAAGGCGCACTATCTTTGGGCGCGAACGCGGCTTTATTAGCCGCAGAGCGCATGAGAACAGAATTTACAATGGTGAAGATACGCGCGAGCCGTGTTCGAGCCCGCTCAACTAAAATCGCTTCTGCGCCTTCATCATGCAGTAGCCTTTGATTATTTTGCTTTTTGTAGTGCAGCGTTGCTAATACTAATCTGCACTTTCCACGTCTGCAGATTCCCCTTCTAGGATTTCCAAATTCTTTTCGTTTCCATAATCCAAGTCGTCATGTCTCCATGTTCTTTCAAATCCTTCTCTCTCGCCCAGTGTTCTTGTTTGGCTTCGTACTGTTCGATTTCTTGCTTCTGGGGCTTCTGGTCTTCCGCGGCCATCAGGCTCACCTGGTCTTCTCATGAATTGACGGAAAGCGAACTTCAGAAAGCGATATGCCTTAAGCACTTCTGTCACTTCTGCTTTAAATTTCTTCGGTATTTACCTCCGGATTTTCGTCCACCACTTTTCTCATTTCTTCATAAAGCTGATCGGGGGTTTGCTGATCATTTTCAACAATTCTCAAAATATTTTGTAGCGTTCCTGACAATTTGCTGATAAGCATGGTAACATTATTTTTGGCTCCTTGCTTCAGTGCGGTCATGTCTCTGTTGAATTGCTCCACTTTTCCCTAAAATGTTTGTGAATGATGTTAGAAAATGGTGGATCAAAACTTACAGCTATGTTATGCTTTTGACTCCATGCTTGGACCATTTCTTTCTGTGCAGCGAAAGTCACGCTACGATCCCTCACGATCTTGAAGTACTCATTCTGTGCCTCTTCATTCACGTCATCGAGATATGTTGGACGACAGCCTTTTCCTCTGCGACCTCCACCCAAACAGCCTGAGGGTCCTGGACCAATAGGAAATCCTAAACCTCTCCCTCGTCCGCGATTGCGTCTAGCACACACAACAGCCACTGTCACGGCAAATATAGCAAAGACCTTGTTCATCTGCAATGCATAGTCATATCCTGAGATGTATGCTCAAGCCCCGGCGGAGAAGAGGTAGCATTGTTATGCGGTTTATTCCAGACAAAAGCTAGGTGATTGTGTTAATATCGTGCCAAACAGGTTTTCATGGTGGATGCTTATTGCATAGCGTTTTTCGACGTATCTTTTTCTGCGGAGGCCTAAAAAGGGATTGCAGTTACGTACTTGGAAGCCTACACGATCAAACGCTGTTCTGACTTGCGGCGTTCAGACCCTGTCTCAATACAACGTACTGGAAAACAATCCGAAGTGGGAGACACCAACCATAAGAACCTGTTTGGTACAATGTCATTCACAAAGTCAACGTAATGCCCAGGTTCAAAAAAGAGAGCACGAAACTAGCCTAGTTGTTTTTTCGATATATGTATAGTAGACGTCATCCGTCTAGTCACCTCGGCGCGATGCGTGTCACTGCATACAATTTTGAAATTCCGGATGAGGTGCTATGCTCCCGCCGTGCCGTACTTGCACCAAATGCGCATACGGCTAAAATTCGACGCCAAACTGCCCGTTTTTTTGATGATGTTTTTTTGTTTTTAGCTGCATGCACGGTCTATTTTCAATAATTTGTTACCTTTACACTCGTGCATTGCCATTTTAGATCGGATATCTCAAAAGTTATCACTTCTGCTTTCAGGTAAGGGAGGAAGGGCAATCTTGCAGTTTTGTGAAGTAAGTGTGCTTTGCGATGCTGAATAAGATCCATGGATTTCAGAAACATCGCATTAACAGCAACTAGACCGTGCATGCAGCTAAAAACAAAAAAAAACATCAAAATAAGAAAATTGGGCAGGCGTCGAATTTTAGCCCGTATGCGCACTTGGTGCAAGTACGGCACGGCGGGAGCCCAGCACCTCATCCGGGATTTCAAAATTGTGTGCAGTAACACACATCGCACCGAGGTGACTAGACGGATGACGTCTACTATACTTCCAATTTCTAAATAAAACTTAACATCAATCAGTATTCGATTACAGAAATTTGGCGAGAACAAGTTTGATTTTCTTTTGAGTACACAAGACACGCCAGCATTTCGATTTATGAAGTAGTACATTTCAGCGCTGGAATTTGTTTCGCTGTAATCGTGCAATAATTTCAATTTCAAGATCAACTTTATTGCACATGCATATCGCTACTTGATTAATTGTGCTTGATTACGATTAGACAACAATGCTTTTGCGGCATTCTATAACCACTGATAAGTAAACGTCCAAAAGCCATTCCTGCAACGTTAAAACGTTAGCACAATTGGCAAAGAACACTATCTTGTTTTTCGTTGTCATAATTTTAGTATAAATGTGCACCATCGTATGTAGCTATTGTCAGATGAGTGCTTGCAATCAAAGATACATGGCTTTTCTAATCTTCAACAGTGCGATCTTAGCACTCAGCTGGATTCTTCCTTTCAACTGGCTTTCATAAAAGCTTAGACATAAAACTGTGGTAACGAGCTATAGTAAAGCTTTGCTCTTCGATAGCAACTTAGTGCTGTTAAATGTCGTTGCACAGCGCAAAATGTTCTTCAATTAGAATACAAAGTCTAAATCAAGATTAGAAGTTGTTGACGTTACTCGATTTACGCGAAACTTTTGTACCAACATGATATATCAAGTGCTATGACATTTTTCAGTTTGGCGACTACAAGATAGAAAGACTACTCTTCTGACATTATTCTATTAGGTTGTAAAGAAAATAATGTCCGTTTTTATTTGCTTGCTTTAACAAAGCAACCAGACTCAACCCAACAAAGGGTAAGGGGTACTGTTCGATAGAGCAAAGCAAGCTCTATCTACAAGATGGCTCTCATGCTTTGCGCCATGCTTGATCCACGGAGAGTTCGAACTCAAAATCTAAAGATTTCCAAATGCCCAAAAAATCGAAAAAAATCAGATCTTCGATAATTTCTACGGACCTCCCACTCGCTCACATCAATGGTATCGATATCTGATATCCATATGTGCGATTGCCGTATTTTTTCCTTGACTAGAAACTGAGAAAACGAAAATTACCCTGATTTTCTCAAAACAATGCTGAGCCGTTTTTGCATATGTAGTTCTATACTACAAGCCTAGGTAAGTATAACTGTAGATTTTCAGCTTATTTCGAGCGGTAGTTTTCGAAAAATAACGAGTTCGGATTTTTTCGTTTCAGTTTCGGTGCTAAAATCGACATTTCTCGAAAAGTACTTCTCGAAATAGGCTGAAAACCTACAGTTATGCTTACCTAGGCTTGTAGTATAGAACCACATATGCAAAAACGGCTCAGCATTGCTTTGAGAAAATCCTAGAAATTTTCGTTTTCTCAGTTTCGAGTCAAGAAAAAAATACGGCAATTGCACATGTGGATATCAGATATAAATAGTATTGATGTGAGCGAGTGGGAGGCCCGTAGAAATTATTTGGACGAAGATCTGTTTTTTTTTCGATTTTTTGGGCATTTGGAAATCTTTAGATTTTGAGTTCGTACTCTCCGTGGATCAAGCATGGCGCAAAGACATGAGAGCCATCTTGTAGAGCTTGCTTTGCTCTATCGAACAGTGCCCCTTACCCTTTGTTGGGTTGAGTCTGGTTGCTTTGTTAAAGCAAGCAAATAAAAAGGGACATTATTTTCTTGACAACCTAATAGTAAAAAACGCCTTGCCTCAAGCACTTCAAGAACCTCAAAATCCTGTCTTATTCATTGATTTTTTTCCGGTTGCAACAGATTTTGCTTCCACGCATGTTATTTGTCCCAAGTCATTCCATACAAATCTGCGTCGCATTCTAAGATCTTGAACCTAGCGTTTGGCAGTGCAGCGTTACCCAATCAATTAAATCGCTTGCCAGATTTTATTACTTGCAAAACAAATAACGCCTTTTTAATGTTGGTACAATCGCGCGTTTAGCACTGCAGCGATTACCAAATCAGTTATCACAAGAGATTTTTGTTACTTACAAAGCAAACAACGCTTTTTTAGTGTTAGTTCCGTCGAAATAATCTGAATCACATAAAACCCTATTTTCCGCTTACTCTCGTCTTGTAACCTGGGCATGTTGTACGAATATGTGTAGTGCTGCTTTGCCAACCAGGTTGTTATGGTGGACCTTAATTAACCTTACTGATGAGTTTGGTTAGACCAACAGAAGATTCTACTGCAATTCCCTTTCAGAGCTCCGAAGAAAATGATATTTGTCGAAATGTAAGTTCAATTAAGGCCCGTATGCACGTACGTCCCCGCTGGGGAGGGGAGGGGAGCTGGATCCCCAGGGGAACAATCCCCTCCGCCGAACCCCGCCATGACAGAGGGGAGGGGAGCGATCCCCTCCCCTGCACCTATGCGGGGATGGTGTAAATGATTTCAGAGGTATTGATCGAGCGAACCCCAGTGCATACGGGTTTCGAATGGGGGAGGGGATCCCTTCCCTTCCCCCACTCGAACCCCGTATGCGCGAATTCAACTCAATAACGCAGGGGAGGGGATCGACATCCCCTGCAACGAAGTAAGGGTTCGATGGTGTAGATCCTGCCAGAGACGCGGATATTCCGGTTCTGCTCAGTCATTACCAAGCATTTCGTTCATTTTGATGGAGGATTTTCTTTGAAAGCCGGGTTCTTCTCTCAGCGACCTGTGGCTTGCAATTTGTCTTTCTTTTCTATATTCGCCTCTTGAGAAGAAATCCGAGCAACAATAGCTGCCAATTTCGATTATTTGTAGGGGTTCTTGATCATTCAGGAAATTTGCGCATTTTTCATATAACATAATAGTTTTAACTATATAGGCTGATTAAACACACTGTAACTTTCATATTTCATGACATGTTGCCATTATCTTGTTTTTTTTTAACATAAGCTGCCTCGAAAAAATCTAGAAAGTAGCATATTTGCCTATTTCTGAGTAGAAATCCCCTGGGGAGTGATCCCCTCCCCAGCGTTCCCCTTGTGCATAGCAGGGATGGCTGCTGGGGATCGTTCCCCTGGGATAAACGACTATATGCAGCTGATAGTTACAGCGTTTATGGAGAGCTGACACAATTTGCAGCTTTTGTTATGTGTTAGAATACTGCTTTGAGCGTCCGCGCGGCACCCCCCCCCCCTTTTCGGCAGCATAACGTCTTCTGCCCATTCCCTTGCAGAGACACATCAACTTCTATAGTTCAACATTTTGACGCTGAAATGGAGCAGCATGAACGAAAGTGGGCAGAATCCAAGAAAGCAGGAACATAATGGGAGTAGAAAAAATCATTTTTAGCACCCCGAGCGCAGTCACTGCATATGCACATTCCGCAACCCCTAAATTAATTGAAGTGAGGAGATGAATATGAGTTGCAGTCAAAATATGAATTAAGAAAGAGTTTTTCATAGAAAGTTTGAAAGCAAGGTGATTTCCCCGCTTGATCCCCTCTTGTGCATAAAAGGGTTCACTTCCCCTCCCCACAGGGGATCCCTTGTACGATATTGTCTTTGTGCATACGGGGGTTCGCGCGGGGAGGGGAGGGGATCCCCAGTGGGGATCATTTCAATGGTTAAGCGCACATCCCCTCCCCGCGGGGATGTATAGGCTGTACCAACCAGCATCGGTTATGCGACGTCGCGTCTGCGGCAGCTTGCGACGATGCGGGTGACGCGTGCGAACTCTGATACCCGCGAGAGCACGTCGCATGCGACCGTGCGTTCTCGCAAGGCATACCAGAGCGGAACCGATGCTGGTTGGTACAGCCTATACGTGCATACGGGCCTAAGACTCACCATAACATCCTGGTTGGCAGAACAGCACTACACACATTCAATACAACATCAAACCCTAATTTACTCAAAGTTCTAACGACTGGACTCATTCCACAGAACCAGTTTCAAGGCGGTAATGTATGTGAGGGTTCTGCCAACGACATCTTTGCAGGATAGCATTTCTTTAATGGAAGAGGCATTTTTCTAAAGGTTGATAGCAGAAGCAGAATGCAGAATTTGGAAGAGCAAATGTTGGGTTGGGACATTGAATGAAAATGAACAGATCAGGACTGATTTACAAAGCCAGGCAAGCAGCAGGGGAGACTGACTTATTTAGGGGCCAGGAGGAGGCTCAAGGGGTCAAAATCATGCAAAGAACTAATTGTGTCACCTCAATATCAAGCCTTTTCGAAATATTCACAATCAAAAAGAAAACAACCTTGTTTTTGAAGTTTGAGGTAATGTCAGCCTACGAATCTTCATGCAGACATGATAAATGATTTTTGATTGACGAAGTCTAGTTGTAAACATATACAATAATAGCAAGTTGAGACTTTGAAGTGATTTATTTCTAACTTAATATGATAGTCAGCAGGACTCAAAACAAGCAATGTTAACATGATGATCTTTGAAGAGTTTATCATAGAACGATCAGAAGAAAGCTAAAATGTGCTCTGATTAAACAATCGAAAGCAAAACTAAATCACGGAAATTACCTTAATCAATGACTGGAAATACCTGAGTCACAAACTCTTCTATGGAATCGCAGTAGATTGCGAATAGTTTTCAAAGCAAACCACAATGAATTCTGGAAACATTTTTAACAATACATCGCATGCGAGTGCACAGTTGCCAAATAGGCAGGCGCGTCCTTAGACTTTCCAGTTACTTTCACAAGTGACAGCCGAATAAAGCATATTTCAATTAAGCGTACTGATTTACTTACAAGGGAAAGATACATGGTGGCCGTGGCCATTTCAACGCTAGTTCGGACACTCTCTTCCTTATCTGCGAAACAATGACCTGGATGGAGTTATGGTATTTTTCATAAGTTGCGCTACTGTGGAGGGTCAAAATCATCGATAAAAAATTTTCTTTCCTTTTCAAACGCTAAATTTGAGATAGGTGTAGATACAACAGTATACCTTCTAAGATTCTCTTCAATAGCTTCAAAAGGTAATTTAGAACAAATTATTGTGATTTTAACTACCCTAATTTCACGCGTACAAGGCGCACCTTTTGCGATTTTTCAATCAAACCCCTCAGCCGCTCCAAAGTATTTCGGAAAGCGATCCCTATGCGTACGATTCTCTTAAGCAATATACAGCACGGCATGGGATCCTTTGGTTGCAAAGTTCTCTGACGTATTTGGGCTAGTCAATTTTGGAAAAAAATCCCCCGCGCCTTGTACGCGTGAAATTAGGGCACATAAAATTACACAAATTCTCTAGGAAAAAGCTCATAACTTCCCTCAGAAGATCTTAAAATCAGCATTTCGAGGTGCATCTCACAATATAATCTCATTTAAAATGCCTACGGTCACCGAGTATCCTTTCCCTGTTAGATGTCGAACCAAGAAGACAAGACAAATGTGGTGAGCAGTTCTGAGCAAAGCAAACAGATGAATACCAGCATTGTATTATGCAATAACTGACGCGGACACTCTCGTAGTCATCTGTCGACATCATTAAGTACTGCGTTTGGCGAAGAAATAACCATAAAGTTGCAAACCAAGCCAGTTATAACATGTATTTTTGTTAATGTTTTCCATGACGTCGTGTTTCTGAGGGCATAGAACACCAACTCGGAATAAAAATATCTGGAAACCAACGCGTTCTACAAATGATGGCTGTGGTTAAATGTACTAGTAAGTGCCAAAATAATGCGTTTTTTGCAATGTTCCATTTTTCAATTGCTACAATTCTGACATCAGAATATTTTGGGTGGTTCAAAAGTTCTGTCAGTTTTTTGAAATGAAATGACCCGCAAATCTCGTACAGTAAAAATAGATAAACGCTTCAAACTACATGTAATGGAGAATCTCTTTTTTCGGCTGTCATATTTCTTGTGATTCACGGCGGAACTGCTGAGATATACCCACACTAATTATTCGACAAAAAACGCAAAAACTGACGATCCGCGTTTTTTTTTCGTTTTCTCTTCATAACTTCCTTCAGATTGCATAAAATACGAATTCGAAGAGAGCATGATGTTCAGCGCGTCAAGACGAATCTTCTGATATACTGCAATCTCTTACTATTCCGTTTTTAGTCTTCTTGATTTTTGTATGAGGCCGGGTTTTCGTAGTAGTGTAACTCAGCGAAGAACGCACATGAAAGACTCTAGTAAACACGGTTCGGTAGAGCTGTTCCCGTAGATTATCATGTAATAGCGATTAGCGAAGGATCCCTTTTCCGTAGAGAAAGATAGGCCATTGATTTTTTAAAAATCGACGTTTCTCAAATAGCTACCGTAACCAGGCAGTAAGACGCTAATTTGCGAAGTTTCCGCTCAATCCAAGATCATCAATATTTTTGCCAAAATCCGTCGGCGAGCTTCACAGGCTAGAACTGGAAAAAAATAAAGGGCCCGAATTTTTAGGGAAACTTGCGCATAGAGGTTATCTAGCCTGCTGATCACGAAAAACACACCTGCTTTGCAAAATAGCGTCTTACTGTCTGGTTGCGGTAGCTATTTGAGAGGCGCCGATTTTTTCAAAATGCAACGGCCTATCTTTCTCTACGGAAAAGGGATCCTTCGCTAATCGCTAGTACATGATAATCTACGGGAAAAGTTCTACCGAATTTTGTTTACGGGAATCTTTCACGTGTGTTCTTCGCTGAGTTACACCACTGCGAAAACCCTTCCTCACACAAAAATCGAGCAAAATGAAACGGAATAGTAAGGGAGTGCAGTATATCAGAAGATTCATCTTGACGAGCTGAACATCTCGCTTACTTCGGATTCGTATTTTATACAATCTGAAGGAAGTTATGAAGAAAAAACGAAAAGAACGCGAATCGTCAGTTTTGTGTTTTCTTTCGAATAACTAGTGTGGGTACTGTATAATCGTGGACATAATAATTCTTCGTCTTCACCTTGTCTAAGTTTTATTCTCGGTATTTTTATCTGAGGTTTTCGGGGAGGTTTGATAGCCAGCAGATAATGCAAAACTTTTTCCAACTAATGCAGGTTTTTAGCACTGTGGCTTGTTTTACAGAATTTTTAAAATTTATTTCTTGAAGTAATATTTCAACTAGGATATGAAATGGTAAAGTTCAGATACTATTCGATGCAACGTTTTCTCCTCTGTCTACAGTTGACTTTTCTTGGCGACAAAAGCGAAATTTGCGGGGGAAAATCGCAGTTCCAAATCTTCATATTTTACACTGGAAATCGCTCATTCACCTTTCAAAGTTAGTAATAGTAAGTGTTACAACCTCGGCGTTCTGAGGACTTTGCAGTGCTTGGCGCGATCATGGGCTATGCGTTTTTCTAAGACTCAAGACTTTTCAAAAATTATTTAGCAGAATTAGCCAGAAAGAAGAAATTGCTTTTTTTGGCAAAAGGTTTGTCCTATCTGCTGGCCATCAAAGCTCCCCCCAAAGCTTCAGACAAAGTTTCTGAAAATTATCGAAAATTAAACATTTTGAAAACGAAGGGTTGTGTGTGTCCAGCGGTTATTTCACTCTTACAATAAATCACATTAAGAATATAGCAGCTGGAAAAGAGGGAAATTCTGTATCGAATACAGTTGAAGTGTTTGCTCCTCTTTATGTGCGAAATTTGCGGGTTATTTGAAAAACTGACAAAACTTTCGAACCAGTTCAATATATATTTCAGTTTTTGCACGCATGTTTTAGAAATTCACCTCTGGACCGATTCAAATCACTTTGTACACTTCGCGGCGAAGCGAGTGTAGTGAATCTATCCTTCATGGTACATACATATCATTTTTTGCGAAGTCTCAGCTACTGGGCTGGAAGTTGAAGAGAAAATGCATGTTGTTACCAATTTACAGATAAGCACATAGAAGTGTGACAGATACAAGGAGATGATGTAGAAGCGAGACAAACTGGTGATTTCTATCATGGTAGCAGTCGACAGCGACCGAACGAAGCCGAGTACACCATTTAGCATTTCTGTAAAATTGATTGCGATTAAGACAAAAGCATCATGGTTTCTTTCAATGACATGAAGGCAGTGTCTGAGCAGTACAACCTCTAGCTTTCTGCTTACCTGTATTTACTGCTACGCTGAATTCGGTCATCTACTTTAAGAGCGCAGAAAGACGAAAACGAGCTTTTTCCAAAGCCCTCTTGTTATGAATTTGGACGAAATAAAGAGTTCCCGTCAAGGCTCTGAGGTTGCATAACCTTAACCCATAAAGCATGCGCACTTTATTTCAGAGCGAATCTATTGACTTGGAGAACTCTAACCCACGCAATTTCTCGCATGTCAAACGTTACAACTTCACACTTGCGATGGCTTGTATGAAGTCTCCGTTTTCAAATAAGACTAAAATTCTATGTTTCTCTCCTTACCCGGACCCCGCCTTCCAGGCAAACTGGGTACATCAAAAATTGAGAAACAAAACAGAATTTGATCTCATTCATGCGTTATAAAAGTTGACAAAAATTGGGACTACTCTTTTACACTTTCTGTCTATGATTGTACATAACATGAAAGCATACGATCAGAACGCAGGTATTGAAGATATTGAGCAGGTACTTGTATTTGTAAAATCTAGAAAAGCAGCATATTTCCAGCCAAAAAATTGAATTAATACAATACGACAATGCTCATTCTTACCCTTTGATTGACATACATTTTTCCTTTGGATGAGAGCGTTGAAATCTTGATGCAACTGTAAAATTGCAAAATATTTCTACCCTCTATCTCAGCCAATATACCCTCAGAGGTGGATCAGGGCGGAGCGCTTCGCTTCGATCTTGCGGATTTTGCGAAGGCATCTTCTGGTGTTGTGGTGCCGAAAAACAAATGACGCAGGCGTTCCCACCTTGTTCTTTCTGCCACACAAGTCAAACGATGCATCCGCACCGTGGCGCAAGCCCAAGCGAAGCGGCGCCGCTCTAATACAACCCATGTCGAGGAGAGATGTACGAGTTGAGACAGATGGTACTTATCCTGCATTTTGTAAACGGGAGTGGAGTGAGGTGCCAGTATAAAAAGCTACCACATTGACCCTAACTGGCACTTTACCTTTTAGCCATGTGCTTCTCGTAATGCATGAGGAGGGGTTTTTTCTTCTGGATGCAAACTCTTTGGTGTCACAGCACGAAGAGGGACAATACGAGGGTCGTCTAGACGAAAGCGCCGCTTACATTACGTTTTCTCTGGGAAAATCGACTTTTTGGACATAGCGCTTTTGGTTATTTGCCGACTCTAATCTATACTACCAATTTACCCTCGCTGTTCGCGTCAAGAAATTTGAATTTGTTTATGCTGAATTATTGCGAAATGTCATACTTTGCAGGCCAAGGCCCAGAATAGTTAGAGGTAGTGGTGAAGGTGGTTAGAGAAAGGGACGCAATAGAAAATTGCTCGAAAAAGGAGAAGGGCATTTTTTAATGCTTCACAGTTTTGCTGGCTGGAATCGAAGCCAAAAAAAAAGACATTATTCGGCACCCACGCATGCATTGCGATTGTTTACGCTTGGATTTCGAAATTGTTCAAGTCATTTTCTTGTAAAAACGATACTGGCACTTTAGAAGTTTGATAATTTGTAGATACAGTAAAAATAGCATGACAAATTTATGTTCAACTAACGTAAACTTACCGTAAGCGTATATGGAGACGGTAAAAATAAATGAACATCATTCGAAGCATATTAAGTAACGTCTATATCAGATCTTTCAACTTTCATCTATAAAAATACAGAAAAGCTGTGCGTCGCATCCGTTGTGATACACATTGCGCAGCACTTCTTCACTGTGCCCAAAAACTTCATTTGCAGGCAGTGGAATACAAATCCACTCGTATATTATATGTAAATTTCTGTAATTTTCACACTCATTGCGGAATTGCAATTTTTATTAAATTTAACTGAAATGAATTTTGATAGTTGCACTGTTAGTTCACGTTTTACCAACGTCCACGGCCGCCACGAGGCCCCATGGGTGCCCACGGGCCTCCTGGTCCTCCTTGTCCTCCTGGACCTCCTGGGAATGGTCCTCGACCACCGGGGCCTGCTGGTCCCCATGGTCCTCCCGGTCCTCCTGGTCCTCCTGGTCCACCTGGACCTCCTGGTCCGAATGGTCCTGGTCCACCTGGGCCTGCTGGTCCCCATGGTCCTCCCGGTCCTCCCTGTCCGCCTGGTCCTCCTGGTCCTTTCATGAATTGATGGAAAGCAAATCTCAGGACCTTGTACACCTAGAAACAGGCATTGGCAGTTGGTGAGTTGTTGTGATGTTGCTTACAAATACCTCAGGATCTTCCTTCACGAGATCTTTCAAAGCTTGAGAGAGTTGCTCAAAAGTCTGGTCTTCCTTTTTGAAAAGTTCAGAAACTTTTTTCTGCGCGTCTGCCAATTTTCCAATAAGCTCGGTAACTTTCTGTTCTGCTTCTTCCTTCTTCTTAGTCATCTCAGCATTAAATTCGTCAACTTTGTCCTGTAAATTCTTTGCAAGGCTTTCGTAAGTGTCGTAGTCTAGAACTCACCTTAACTTTGTATTTTTCAGCCCACTCGTCGATTTTTGCTTTCTGCTCGGCAAAGGTCAACTTGCTGTTCATCATGATATCCTGATATTCTCTTCGTCCCATTTGGTTCACATCTCTAAGGTAGGGAGGTTCGGGAGGTCCCTGGGGACGGAAACCTCCTGGGAATCCTGGACCACCACGTCCGCCTCGAGCGCAGACCACTGCTGTCGTCACGGCGAGGATAGCTATGATATAATTCATCTGGAAAAATGATGTTAATTTGGGAAAGACTCTAAATGGATTGATGTGATATGGAATGTAGAAACTGATGCTGCTCTGCCTTCCGGCATCTTTATATTCTGGATGTTGACGTCGATCCCTGCATGCACCGCCCATTGATGATTCATCCAAATTATGTAGCTACATTCCAAATCTTGGCCTACTGATTGACAGCAAATTTTTTACCAAAAATTAAACGAGTTAAGGATTTATAGAAAAGGTTATCTTTTCAAGGAACCAGAGAATGTTATTATTAAAGCATCACCAGATTTCTTCTGTGATGGCAATTAACACTTACCTAAAAATCACAGCCCAACATATTTTATCCAAATGACTTTTGTACCAGTAGCATAATGATATCGCAGTCTTCAAGTTAATGTAAATGCTGCTAGAAGATACAATTTTCTTCTGTAGTACTTTACGCACTTATTTCATACACGAGTACGTAAGGTTTAAATTTCTCTCCATGATGCTACAACTGTCGCCGACATGGAACTCCCTTCGACAAAACGGTTTCTGGTTACAGCATTTACTAAGAAATTCCCAAAAATTTGTGAGACTTTCCTGAAAGTGTACAACTGCTAGAAGTCACAATTTTTAGGCCATTTTAAATTCTTTCGATTATCTGAAAAAAACTTTGCAGCGATGCTATTAAAAAGCTCAGATTTTGACCTTTCAATATTTTCCACAGAAGCCTCCAACAAATATCTTTGTTAGCAATCATAATTACTCGTTCAATGCATCAAAAGCTCGCCCGCCGCTTCTGTACAAATAATAAGATATCTTTTTGTTCATGGCACCGTTAAGGGCATGTGATTTCAAATAGTCATCAACTTTTCAATCTCTACTGTTTGTTCATAATCATGGGGTGATAGGAAAACAGCTGCTGAAAATTGAGACTGATGTTCTGCACTTTGGAATAGACGTGGCAATTTATGCAATCTGAAAATTAGCATGAAATACTCAAAGCACAGTTTTCATGGTCCAGCCTGCCATTCAGGGCGTCCAGGTGGAAAGACAAAATTCATAATTTGAAGGCACAGTGCATTCATAAATGCTGATTGAATTTTAATTGATTAAAACGTCTTGTCCAAAACCTGGGACTGCTCAAAAGCGAAGCACATTGAGTCATCAAGCTATTGCGAAGGTATTTTATCACTTGAAGCAATTTAATGGGCTAGTTTCAAGCCTTTGTCACTGTCAAACATTCCTCTTTGGAAAGTTAGAAAGCTTTTTGCCTTTAACAATGCATAACTACGGTGTGAACTGTTACAAAACGTAAAAGATCTTCTTTTGCCACATTCTACTATGATGGCTAGTATGCTTACAGCTCGCAGGCAGTCTCTATATCAAGATATAGACATTTGACAGAGCGAGTTCTCACAATGCAAGCGAGACATTGTACTTTACTTCCACTCCATAAGCATGCGCCACAGCCAGTCGGCACCATGCTTGTAGTATATTTTACATGGCAGAAGAGGAACCTTTTGGGACTCAGACTTGCACTCAAGATTCTGATCTAAAAAATCTCACATCTTATTAAATACCCTTTGCTTCAACACCAGATTGGCTGCTGGCAGGCGGGGCTTCATCTTATCTATAAAGCTGAATGTGTGTCTGTCTGTATGTATGTACATATGTATGTATCGTTTGTTTCCCAGCAACTCATAGGTACCACGTCATCTCGCTGCCTTCCGCACTTTTGAACGTGTTAACCTCGGGCAATTCCGTTGAAATCTCAGAAAAAACGTGTCAAAAAGAGCGAAAGGCAGCGTCGCACCACGTACGCACGCTGGTTCACATGGGAACCTCTCTGGGGCGCAGACGGTACGTATGTGCGGAATAGAAATCTTTATTTCTGAACCGATTTAAACCAAACTTGGCACACGTACACTTCGGGGCAGGGAGCGTGTTTTTGTTATCGATCGATATCGATTTTATCGATTTTTTGCAAAATTTGAGCTACGGGGCTGGGAGTTGGCACAGGGGGTAATCGAGCATGCTGATTACAAACATGTTATTGACAGGGCCGGGCGGAGCCGTGTTTGCCAACTATTGACCTATAAGGTGACTGCCGTCCGCGACGCAGTCTGCGCTTACCTCGTGAACATGCTCTCTGATCATTTCCTAGCGCCTTAATTAGGTCACGGAGCCCCCTTTCAGCCGCCTATCTGGTTGAAGCAAAGGGTACATTAACACTGACGAATACATTAATATAGCATTGATGGATCAATGGATGGATTAACTTCAAGATTGCTACAAATGTATGTATGCGCAGAAGCTCAGCCTTCTCAAAAAATACTAGGGCGTCTCTGTCTTTCATATGCGAAAATAACTCTGTGAAACTTGTCGCATGAAAAATTTGGCGCAAATGCTTTTCAGCCACTCTGTACGCGAAAAAATAAATGGCAAGGATGCAAGATTTACGCGGAAACTCGATATTTTCAATTACTTTGAAATACATCAAATCTTTCCATGACTCGTAGCTCGTCTAGAAGCGCATTCAGCACTTAAACGAATTTAAAACGAACGCATTGACCATCCTTGAGCGCTTACGTAGGAAAACTCCTCCGATGACAAAAGCGGCTTTTTTGGTTAGTTCTTTCAGAATCTTCTTATTGATTAAGTCGCAACCGCCTTGTACTCTTTTCAACGAGTCAGCCTAGTTTAGCCTCGAAAGAAAGATTATGACAACTTTTTCTGAGCATATCGCTTTCATCGAAACAATACCTAAATTGCGAATATGCTTTTATTTTGGCAATCTTCAATTACTTGTGTTCCTCAATTCGTTTTGAGAAGTGTTAGACCGACGAGAAAAGCTTGTTAAAATATACAAACGCGGAATACAACTTGGTTTCGCAGCGTTCTCAGTGCATTCTTACGTCATCACATTTTTTTCTCTTTCCAATGATAAAGTTCTTACAATCTTCTTCAAAGCATCCAAATTAAAATGGGTGACTGCTTAAATGACTTCAACGTATACTCAGTTGATTGTTTACCTATATAATGCTTTCAAGGTATGCACAGTATCTCCAAACATCTGCGGCTTCAGAAAGGGTACTCAAGGAGGATTTTTTGCAAGTTGCCATATTTACAGCAACTGCTTCAATTGTCTCGTGTAGAAAAATGTATGTTTTTATGAAGCTACTTCTATGGAAATTGAAAGCTATGAAGTCTTTACGTAAAAGTTGAGTAAGGAAGATGATCATTTAGTAGCTGCAAAAGCGAGATATTCGAGCCTTCTGTTTGACCATACTAAATAATTAGATAATCAATAATTAGATGATGATCAAATGACTATTGTGGACCGGGATTTCGACAGTTACTCCGCGCAGAAGGTGGGTGTAAATCGCTTCAATATTCTGCACTTCACAGTCAAAAATCTCATTAAAACAGTCTAAAGTCAGTAGAGTAAACAGTGAACACCTTTGGCTTGAGTGATAGATAGGTCACCAGGCTAATTATATTGAAAAAAGTGTTTTAAGCACGTCTGAAGTGAAGTTTGCTTTGTATCGTAGCAATAAAAACTAGAGTCAAGCGTGGAAGCTCATTATGCGAAATAGAAGCACATCATTTTTTGGCTTACCATCGTATACGTACATTAGGCATTAATGAGCTCCATATTTGCAATTAGCATGTTGAATAACCCTTTGGACCAAGTCTTAGCGGTTCTGAGGTCTCTAAAAATTGGGCCAATCAAGTGAGTCATTTTCGAACATGATTAACTTTGCTTCAGGAATTAAATAGCTTCTTCTTTTCTACACTCAAACCTGTTTTACTCACTAAAATTTCCAATTTCGGTGACCGCCAAATTATGGCGGAAGTCAGCCAAAATCTTGTTTATCCCATTTTTCCCCTTCAAGAGTTCTGCTTTCAGCAGCTATCACGATTGAAAAAGAACAAATTGCTTCTTTGAAGCCACGAGGATTAGGCTACTGAATGTAGTATGTAACTTAGCCGCCTTTTCACGCAATCTAGTATAGCGCAGAATTACACTATCTTAACTCATTATTTTTCCGTTGTATTGGTGAAAAGGCTTGTAGGCTGTATAAGTGGATTTATCTTCTTCTGAGAGAAACGATTCTGGATAATCTCTATTGTTTGAAGAGAAAGGTTTGGCTTTTCAACGATATGCAAAACACAGATGTTTGAAAACTTTGAAGCACAGGTGCGATAGTGTGAGACTTTTCTCACCCCCTCTTCACCCCTAAGCGGGGACCAAGGTGATCCCTTTCACCAAAAGCCGAGAAAAAAATCAACAGTGAGGTAAGATTAAGCAAAGGAGATATTTGTACGTGAATTGTCAGTGTATAGGAAAGGAGGAGTCCGTTGAAAAAAGTGCTTGGTGGCGGTTTGAGTAGTGGTTTCTGGAGATTTTCGGGTTTTTGACATAAAAAAATTCCTAACTTTTGTAGATGAACATCTTTTACGGCGAGATGGTCATCGTTAGAACCGCCTCGTTCTCCGCTCTCAGAAAATATACAGCATGTTTGAGATCCGTTCAAAAAAGTGCGTGGTAAAAGATGTGCCTAGTGATTTCTGGGAATTTTCGAGTTTTCAGGATAAAAAAATCCGTGACTACTGCAGATGAACAGCTGGTGCAAGGAAATAATAACCATCGGAACCGCCCTCAATCTCCGCTTTCAAAAAATATATAGCATGTCTGAGATCCTTTCAAAAAATGCCTGGGTGAAGGGTGTGCTTGGTGATTTTTGAAGATACTCGATTTTTTATCATAAAAAAATTCATAACTTTTTTAGATAAACATCTTGTACGCCGAGATAGTTACCATTGGAACCGCCTTGTCCTCCGCTTTCAGAAAATGTATACTTTGCCTGGGGTCCGTTAAAAAAAAGTGCCGGGTGAAGGGTGGGTGAGTCTTTTATAATGGGAGTGCTCAAGTAGACGCCTTTTGACAATGATAAAAAAACCTGTACTTGAGCACTCCCATTATAAAAGTCTCACCCAACTTTCACCCGGCACTTTTTCTAATGGACCTCGGGCAAAGTATATACTTTCTGAAAGCAGAGGACGAGACGGTTCCAGCGGTGACCATCCCGGCGTACAAGATGTTCATCTAAAAAAGTTAGGAATTTTTTTATGTTAAAAACTCGAAAATCTTCAGAAATCATTAGGATACCCTTCACCCAGGCACTTTTTGATGGACACCAGGCAATGTATATATTTTCTGGAAGCAGAAAACGAGGCGGTTTCAATGGTAGCCATGCCGGCGTAAATTATGTTCATCTTCAAAAGTTACGGATTTTTCTATCTTAAAAACTCGAAAATATCCAGAAATCACTACCCACACTCTTCACCAGGCACTTTTTCAACAGACTCCAGGCAAACTATATATTCTCTAAAAGCGGAAGACAAGATGGTTTCAAAAATATTCACCTTGCTGACGTTGCTGTTCATCTACAGAAATTACGAATTTCTTCTTTGAAAAAAATTCGTAAATGCTTAAAAATTGTCTAACTCTTTCCGAAACAAATGTTCGCATGCACATCAACTATGGTAATTCCAAAACCAGGCAAGGCGATGTAAAAAAGGGAAAAGGAAATGTAAAAAAATACAAGGTGCTGGTCAGAAATATAATTGTATGCTAATCCAGCAGCGTATCACTTCACATTTCAGAAAAAAGACGAACAGTGATGGTAAGGAATTGGAAATTATGAACTTTGACTGGGAAAAATGGTGGCTCCCCCCCCCCCCCCCGTCGACATTTTACGATTTCTTTACCAAGTAAAACACCCTTCACCCTGGAGGGGTTGCGACCACTGTGACCCCCTTCACCCTGGAGGAGTCATTCTCACCTTATCGCACCTGCGCTTTGAAGGTAAGCTGGGGCGGCACAACCCTAAAAAGGCGTAGCAGCCACAAGGGGTCTTGGGTTGTACCATAACCCCATTAACTTATATGCAAAAAGGCTTTTAGCGAATGTTGTCCATATTTTCGATGGCCCCTTAAGCAATTTGCTGAAAGAACGACTAATAGCGAAAACTGGATGAATGAGATTTTGGCTGGATCCTTATTCCAAGTTTGGCAGTCGCTGGAGATCGATTCCTGATGTGGATAAAGGCGTAATGCTTATTGTCGAGTGCAAAACAGATAGCTAACTCACCCTTGAATAACTTAATCATGTTTGAATATGAACATTTCACTTAGGTGGCGCAATATAAAGAGCTCTCACAATTCGCTATGACTTTGCCACAGAATTGCTTGACATATTGCTTACGAATTTGTTGCTAATTATGCTTGATAGGATCTCTATGTTATGCCTATGGTAGGTAAACGATAATGCTGAGTGGAGGGGGGGGGGGGAAGGGGAAGGGGGAGTATATTGGAGAAACTTGGGGGTGGGTCGTATCCGGCGATTGTGTGCTACATCTCTGACTCTTCCCAAGTCCTAACCTCAGACGAATCTGTATTTATTCGAAAAATAACGGTGCTGCTCTCACAGTTTGAAATTTCATCACCTAATTGGATGGTTGAGGTTTTATCACTTATTCGCGTAATCGTCACACTTCATAGTTTGGTAAGAGCGGACACTTTTGTGCGTCCAAGTGAACATGGCTGATCACAGACGACAATTCATGATGGCTGCGCTAGTTTCACGAAACATTATTTGCGGTGGTAGTTTATCTGCTGTCTAGTGTAGAACTTAGCTACGATAGCCGAGGTGGCTGTTTATAACACACAATTTGTTGCTAATTATGCTTGGTAGGATCTTTTTTCGTTTTTCGCCCTAAGTGTTTTTGGGGGAGAAATGAGATTTGTTAACTTTGATTCGATGTCTTTGTTACGTCGAGTTATATCCTCTCCAATTTTATTGCGCACATTCATCAACAGGCCTGCATTCGTTTCACCGTAATCGTGGGTGGGGCAAGTCTCTGTCATTGGCTCGCAGTGATATTGCGTTTTAATAGTGGTTGTAGATAAGAATTGAGCGCCAACTGTTAAAAAGCATTGATCGGAGAAGGTTCGTTATTCAAACATTCGATAATTTATCTTCAAAAGTTATTCGATTATTCGACAGTGTAATCGAATAACTAGATGAGAGCGTCACAATTTTGACTGCTATATCAGCAACCATCGTTTGTTGTCCAAGTTGTCCACGGCATGGAGTCCTTCATTGTACTAATTCGATCAAAAATTGTTCGAATATTTGATAAATCGATGCAAAATATTCGTTTATTCAAATTTTTTTCTCAAACATATATTCGATAATGAAACAAATGTGAAGTAAGAATTGAGAATTAGAATGTAATTGTCATGATAGAAAATTTCATGTTAATTTTTGCAAGTGTTTTTACACTATCCGGTTTCGGGGCTAAGAACTATACCGGTAGTGCAGCTTCCTTGGTGCCCCTCTCAGTAGTTCCCAAGGAAGCTCCAAAAATGGAAAGAGAGGTAGCCTACAGAATCTTAGCGGAGTGATAGGCATAAAGTTCAAAAAACGAATCAAGACGAGTCGTCACACTGAAAGTAAAATCAAAATATCCAAGAATGGCATGGCGATTGATTGCAATCTCACATTCGAATTATTAAGTCGTCGAATAATCGATATTCGATTATTACGACTTTCTTATTTCGATATTCGATATTCGAATATTCGTTTTTTGCTTTTGAAAATATTCGAAATTCGATTATTCGATATTTTTGACTTTCGAGTATATTAGGTTATTCGATTATTCGATGAAATTCTCGAATACTCCAAAGTATAGTAATCAAACGCATTATTTAAACATTCCTATATTCGAACAGTGTTTCTCGCAACTTTTAAATGCGAATATTTGTATAAATGTCATTCAAAATTCCTCGGATATTCAAATACGAATAAGTCATTTTTCGAAGTGGTGGATTAAACGATTTATTCGAATGCAGGCGTTTTTCATTCGAACAAATTATTCGAACACGATTTACAATTTTCTGTATTTGCTTATATTATTTAGCAAAAAACGTAACATGTGCTTGACTTATATGAGAATATGTGTGGTTGCGTTGTCTGTTGCAGATGTCCGCCTAAGATCACGTTTACGGCGACATAGAGTGCCTTAAACGTAATGGCCGTTAACGGTCAACTAACTGTATGTTGTTATTTTCATTGTTTCATACCTTCAATTTATCTTGTTCATGATTCAGAGCCACTTTTGTTGGATTGCTTTACCTTGATTTTCCATTATCTCTGCAATAAATCCTGCCTGGCTGGCGCTACAACTTCTCTCGAGATTAGCAAAATTCATTTTTCAGTCAAGAAATTAAGGCGAGAGAATTGTAATTACAGTCGAAGTGGCTTTTTGAAATGAGATACATGCCATCTTGAAGGGTTACCGATTTCAAAGTTTTAGGAGTCATGAGCGTTCTTACAAGGGAAAGATACTTGGTCGAAGTGGAGTCTTCATATGAAATGTATATTGTCTTATAGACCATGTTACGCTGATTTCAAATCTGCTTTCCGTAACTGCAAAAGACTTCTGAGAGGAAAGCTATGGGATTTTTTTGAGGCAAAAAATCAAGGGTTTAAGGTAGAATCAAGTGTTGAGGTCCTTTTAGCGCTGGAGGAGAGTAACGACCAACTTAAGTATATCAGACTGAATGTAACAGCTGCATAAAACGCCATGGCAGTGCTTATGACCCCAATCTGAGCTCACAGACTACAGCTCTGAATGATTCTATTGGTTAGACTTTATTGCTACAAGATTTTCCCATAACTCTTCTTACAGAGGCGCTTTGCAAATACGGAAAAAAGATTTGGAATCAGCGTTCTATAGTGAAAAAGACAGTTTACAATTCATACGGAAGGCCACTTCGGAGTATCCTTCCCTTGTTAGAGCAAAAACGAACTTCAAAGGAGTTTTCGTTGAAACAGTTTTCTCTGCCTAGAATGAGGACAATGGTAAGTGCTATGGTAGTATGCTATGCATACTTTTTATTTTACTCAAGTGTATCACTACACGTGAGGGCTGCAAAACCCTGACGTGGCTCAGCGACCATTCCGCTTTGGAAATGTTCATAACTCCATTTTTAGAAGGTTGAAAAGACAATTTTGGAAGCGGCGATCACGGCTCTCCAAAATGGTGCGGATCTTACTTAAGGCCACTTCCAAGAGTAATCTTTCTCGGTCGAAAGTTTCTTCCCACTTATTCAATCTGGAGTCATAGCACTCACGCATGAGTGCAAGGTGCACATTAGTATTCTTCATTGCTCGTAGTATGACATAATCTTGTTAAGCTTCACTTGCCGTGCATAAATGAAAGCTTTGAATGAAATAATCAGCAAAAAATATTGATTCGCAATGCCTCAAATCCATCGTTTGCTTCACCACTGATTGCTTACATGAAAATGTTTTCTACATTATTGAACTAATGAAATCATAAGCAGCCCCAGTGTTTTTTGCAGCACTAGGCATAAGATCTCGAATTTCAGAAGAGCTCATTGGCAGTTTTGATAATGAAACATACAAACGATTACTATTAGTGTAAATACTTATGATGTTTATGAGAAACAAACCGCAAAAACGGAATCATTTCATTTATTATGTCATCATTCTCAATCAACTGCTTGTGTATTCACTGTAGAAGGAAGAACTCTATTCTGTGCAGTTGAACTGCACGTAACGAATCTATTGAGTAGCATTCTTAGGTCACGATCCAATGTCATATGAACTATAGCATTGCTGGTTGCTAAAAAAAGTTTTTGTAATTCGTAATACACTCCCCCCTTTTGCAGATGTAATGGACTAACCTGCACAAAGTAGACCAACAGTATAAAATGGTCCTACTCTTTTGAATATAGAATAATCTATCATTTCCATAAATCCGGCGCCTATGCTTGGCAAAGTCAAGAAGAGCACAGTAGTAAGGAGAATTCCAACAGATGTACGGCTTGCCTATAAAATGGGACAGTAATCTTAGGTTTTATCGTAGAAAACGGTAAAATTTTCCTTGGCCTCAGCGCTCTGCAGTTTCCAACACTACTAGAGAAGAAAGAGTGCCAAATTCTGCTAAGCTTTTCGCTGTGATGTAATTACTTTGCAAGTAATTGCGCAAAACGAGGTCAAGTAAAGCTTTAACACTGTGCAAGCAGTGCTGAAAAATTTTCCATCCAGAAGAGAAATCTTCTTCTGATTATGCTCACCTGAATCACTTCTCAGAATGTGACGTGCTTAAAAGTCAACTTAAAAAAATATGATCCCTCAAATCTTTCTGTCTTTAACTCGAGATTTTTTGCTAAGGAAACAAGACATTTGTTTATCCCCAACTCAGCTGCAAATAAGCTTTGTGAGAGGATATATTTGCCCTATCATAAACTATTGTCCATGTTACGCCACCAAAACAGACTTTTGATAAGGCCTCACAAGTAAGGCACTTCGTGACATTTTTTCAACACTTATTCTATGCACCAGATACAATTAACCATATGCTTACTCTGTAAACTTTATTGTCGGAACTGGAGAGGCATAACTTTTACCAACAAACACAAAAAAGGTACTCATGGCAAATTTCTACGAGTGTGTTGATATATGAGCTGAAACACAAATAATGCAGCCTCGTTCTTTCCCACTAGTTAATTTTCTATCCCAATACCAGATTATTCCAGTTCGTCCCTATTTGCTCGTGATGTAATCTCAGCGAATAACCAAAGCGATTCGAAAAATTTGTGATATCAAGGAAAGAAAGCGGATAGCATCAAGGACTTCTGTCAAATTTACCTTGAATGCATAATCGCAAGCTAAGGAAAAAAAAGTGCGAAGGATCTAGTCTGGGAGGCGTGCAAGTGGTACCCAGGCAGCCGACTGCTGCCGCAGCCAGCCGCCAGAGCTGCCGGCAAAGCCGCTGCAGATGGTACAGTAATTACGCTCGTCGTCAACTCTTGCCGAGAGGTTTTCTCGCACTTCGTCGCTCTGAGGTGCGATATCAGCCTCAGGAAAGCATGATACCTCGATATCTATGTCATTTTGAACAGCAGAAAATTTATGTTTTTTGAGAAACATGCAAATAAATAAAAGCAAACAGACGAGGGTTTTTCTAGAGGAAAATGACCATAAAATCAAAGCACTTCAAAAACTCAAAGGAAGCGGAGGCGATTGAAGATATTACGCTATCATTAACCTACTCAATTTGATTAACCTACTTTGCTTTATTTAGCTCGCTTAACATCAGTATGTTATGAAATAACCGTTTTGACAAAGTTTTCTTACCGCTACATCCATGACATATCTTGTAATTGTTCTCGTCTGTTTCTCGACTTAAAAGCGAAAAAAACCTTTAGAAATTTAAGAATTCTCAAATTTTTCAGCCTCTGCTTTCTTTGAGTTTCTAAAGTGATTTGATTTTGTGACCATATTGCTTCAGAAAAACCCTCCTCTCTATACCTTTGCATGTTCAAAAAACATGATATTTCTGCTGTTTAAAATGATATAGATATCGAGGATATCACGCTTTCCTGGGGCTGATATCGCACCTCAGAGCGACGAAATGCGAGAAAACCTCTCACAATCAGCAAGAGTTTTTGACCACAAGGGTAATTACTGTACCATGTACAGCGGCTTTGCCGGCAGCTCTGGCGGCTGGCTGCGGCGGCAGTCAGCTGCCTGGATACCACTTGCTACGCACCCATCTAGTCTAATGCTTGCCCTTCTTTCTTATGAAATTTGACATAAAACATTTACTTGGTATGACTCAACACTATTCAAAAAAAGGACTGTCCCTACGCAGCCGTAAAGCTCGGGTATACTTCGCGCGATTTCAGTCGCGATGCGAAGCATTTATTAGATGTTTTCAAATGCAACACTTGCAGATTACACATACGCGGGATGTAGTACATTTGCAGGCCGTTAAAATGTCCTTCTTCTGTACATTCAAATTAAGAAAATTGGAGTATTGCCAATCGCATCGAGAAATCGCGTAAACTATGGCCGACGACTAAGCTTGCAAGCACGGAGCTTAGTATGCGAGGCTGATTCAATTTGTCGGCATAACCGCGCTGGCATGTTCGCTCCAACGCGTAGAATTTATGAGTAAATAAGTTAACCTGTGCGTATCTGTTCGTTCTCCGGGCAAAATATGCTGTAGACGATTTTGGCCTCTTTCCAATCACTTGCAATTTGAAGAGAACCATAAACATGAAGAATACTATAATGATGCCAAGTGCCTGGAACATCGATTAAGTTGGACTCCTTGATTCAAATAATAGAACTTGCCATGTTGCTAGTGCCCCAATAGTACAGGAACTTTTCGCTGACAAAGCAGCCAATCGTTCCACAACCACGGCTTTCTTTTATAGGTGAGAGTGCAAATTCTAACAGTAAATCGCTGCACGCTAATAAGATTCCTAATAGCAGCGAAATTATGGCGTACAATGCGGAAGAGATACCACGATAAAAGATAGGATAAAACAAAGCCTGAAACAAATAGCGAAAACTATGGTAAAATCGTTGGTACTTGCTTACCAATGTCCTCTGTAATGCCACTGCTGCCGTCAAAGTCAGCTTGATCTTCAACTGAATGATCAAGGGAGTGCTGGAAAACATCATAAAGTAAGGATCGAGATTTATAGGTTCAGTTGCACAAAAGATGGTCATGTAGATCGTATAAGGTAAAGCTGAAAATGATGGGACGCATATTCATAATTACGAAGATATAGCAAGAAATATAGCAAAGTCTATTATAAATGAAATTTCTGAATCAGATTAGCTTACTAGTGAGAGCATGTAAAACGTCGGTAATGGCCATCAGCAACATCAGCCGGTGAGCTGTGCTTCGGTACAACTGCTTGGATCTAATAGAAAGGCTCATAGTTTTTTGATTTGTAATCAATTTCGCTTTTTTTACAGATACTCACTTGAAAAACATGAGCAGTATGAGGCCGTCGCAGGTGATAACAGCAGTCTGTAGTAAAAGAATAATACAGTCTATGATTAGGTAAGACATTCTGAGATGCTTCTGGAATTTTTTTTTCAAATTGATACCGAGCAACACAGAAACCGTAAGATTCAGATCAACAAGCGGCAATTCAAATGCAGTGATATTTAATAACTAGCTGGATCCATTAGAAAGTTTTGAAATTGATTGCTCTTTTGAAGGCTAATGATGCACATTTATGGGAAAAATGGCGACCGTTTTACCTTTATTTTGGACTTCACAATCAATCAGCGCAAATTTTATCGCAACACATTTTACCATAATAATTTTACGTTGTAATAAGTAGTTTACGCATTATACTGATCTCTGAATGCTTGCGTCTAGACTTATGATGGAGACTGAGAGGCCTAATGCAGCACTGAACACTGACATACAAAGGACAAGTATTGTTATTGCTTGTGGGTGGAAGCCCCATTTTATGCTAACAAACTTGGATCGTATGTCAACGTCCAACAAACAAATATCGTGCATTTCTGCAAATGCTAACTGTATACTCCAGTGAAGAGGCTACTCAATATGTGTCTGCTGCATTTCACTCTCTTAAAAGCAGCACTCTCAGGTAACTCAAAATTGGGAAGGCAACGATGATGTTCTGATCTCCTGCGGCCGATTTTTAGCATGACGTAACAACAATGAAGAATATCCGAAGGATATATTTGCTTATTACCAAAGGTTATTAGCAAATTAAAATATGTGAGATTGCGAAAGCTGAAGTCAGACATTGTTGAATCTATGGGTTAAAAGCTGGAAACTTTAGCGACGATTTGAGAAAAGAAAACGGAAAGAAGCACTTTGAAAATCAAGTAAGTAGGAATGATTTCAAAACCGCCCAAAGTTTGTAATTACCTTTGTTCTCTATGATTGCGCATGATCAAAAAGCTGCCACAAACTTTTGGATTATTCTAAGATGATAAATTTGCCCATACGTTACGTTCAAAGCATTTCAATAACCAGTACCGTAAGTGAACGATGGGATGAAAATTAAGTGTCGCATTGTTCATCACTGTGTTTTTTGAGCAGGCATTACACTAGGGAATTGAAATAATCAGCTGTTTATTGGAGTCTCAATTGAAAACAGTCAAAGCAAATGATAAACGACCAAATTTGAGGTGATGTCATCCGAAAGAATATGATACTTTAGGCGTTGGCCGTCGACATAAAAGTTCTGACTTGTGTAGCTGCTTTGTGATGATAAAACCCTTGAGTAGCGTTCTCAAATCACGATTTGATGTTATATGGCATTGCTAGTTGCTTAAAAAACTTTGAATAGTGGAGGCAAGCATTTTCAAGAAAAGTCCGACCTGCACAGAAGAGACCAACAATGTAAAATAGACCAACTCCTCTAAAGAGATAGTTCTATGAGTCCAGCACATATCGGTAACGTTAAAAAAAGTATAGTAGTAAGCAAAATTCCTAAAGATGTGCGACTTGCCTAAAACAAAAGATGAAAGACTGAGCCAACAATGCAATGATTGTGCACATTTTTTTCTGCTCAATTATATCATTCTGACCCTCATAGATACCGACTCTGATTATCTGTCGGCCAAAATGTCTGTAAGAAAGGTGATGGCATCCTGTTTATACTCACAAGAGAAGCTTGTGTATCGAAGTGGCTCTTCCAAATGATTCTTGCACCAATTTGAAGAGCATTGAACGCTGATTTCAAATCTGCTTCTAATATTTGCCAAACGCCCATGGGCGCCGAGTTATGAGTGTTATTTGGAGCAAAAAATGAACGCGACATCTATGTAGAAATATATTTACGATATATCCTGCGCTCAAATAGAGCAATGTTGAGTATAAGGTGAGTATAAGGGTATTAGACAGGATGTATTCATTAGAAGAATTGCTCTGATAATGAACACCTGACCATTTGAGCAGTCTTGGACGATTTTGTTCCAGTTGTGCATTCAGTTTTTCGACCTAAGAAACACCCATAGCACGGCCTCCAGAGGCGCTTGGCAGATATGGAAGACGGATTTAGCATCACCGTTCAATGCTTTACAAATCATATAGGCGCCATGTGAAAAGGCCACTTCGACTAAAGACGCTTCCCTTGTCAATTTGTAAGGTTGGCATTTTTGATTACTAGGTCGTTCCATGAGTTCGTAGCGTCATTATTTTTGTCTTTGTTCTCTAGTGAAGCGGCAGGTTTACCGCAAAATGTGGTACTTTCCGAAAAAGCCAATTCTACTCTAGAAGAACTGCGTTTTATTTACAAAGTAAACCTAATGACCTTTGTTTTGTGACTGCTCAAAGCAGAGTTTTTTGTGTAGCAAGGCATCTCCATCTTCGCCGCTATATACGGAAATTACGAGAGGAAAATTTGTATTCGAAATTGTTATGAGTGATGAAAAATACTGTTTATCGGACTATGATGCACGTAGAACAAGAATCCTTGTCAAGGGAGACGCTACAGAAAATGATAGAGCGCACTTTTACGGTATGTGTAGGTAGATGTTTTGCGTTTGGCCGGAATGAGGAAATTTTCTGAGCCAAAAATTTTTTCGGGAAAGCGTAAAATCGTTGGTCACCGGTTGCATTCAAACTTCGCTCAAGGCTTGTAGCAGGACGTGATCATTCTGATACGAAACGACGCGTGAAACTCAAGCTGCAGCAGTCGAAGACAGCAACTTTTGAGACTTCATTTAAACAGTTCTTAGCATATTGGCTAGAGACCATTGTGTCAGCACATCAGCGTTGCTTGCTACTTGCTATTCCGACTATACATCCAGAAAAATATTTGTGGGATATGGACGAAATGCGAAAAGCACAGGTGCCGAAATGGCCATTTTCTGCCACTCAAAAAACTTTGCTTTGAGAAATTATAAACCAAAGATCATCATGCTTCAAAAATAACAAGCAGGTTTTGCAGAAAAAACTTGGCTGTTTCGATTGATACCAGATAATTTGCCGTAAACCAACTGCTTTACCAGAAAACGACGACGAAAATGAAAACGCTACGAACTTATAGAACGACCTAATAATAGCAACAGTTTTTATTTCATTGTAAAAAAAATTAAAGAAATCTTACTGCTGCATTGGAAAGAAAATAATGTCGCTTACCGCGAAGTGACACTGAAAATTTGTACGATTGTTTAGTAGAGCAAAGCAAGTTTTACAGAAAACTCCAGACGTCCGCATAACTCGTAGCCAGTTTGGGGCAATGTCCCAGCAATTTGAGTCTGGCGGAATATACAGGGCCTAACTGCGAGTCTAGTGCACCAGCTCTCCTCTTTCGCTCCCGCAGGGCCGCCTCGCCTGGACTCTGCGCCTTTTGCGCGAACGTACTCTCTGATTACTTTCCAACCGCGAACTTGGGAAGGAGCCCATCGATTGCAAATGATCGAGAGCATGCTCGCGGAAAAGGCGCAGGGTACCGCTCGGAGATGCTGGCGCACCCAGCACTGCGATTGATAAGCCCTATAGGTGTGGTGAGGTTCCTGGTTACACGACTCACTTTTGGCCCCACCCGGCTGCATGATATCAGCTCTGCCCCGAAAAAACCGCCCTCGTATCGGCCCGCTGGGAAAAAATCGTCTCCTTCCGGGCGGGTCGTACTGTGCATGCCATTCAGTGAAAAAATTACAGGAAGCAAATTTTTGTGCCAAGGCCTGCAACTTTTTATGTAAACTCTCGTCCGAGTTTCCTTTATGGAAAGTGTATAAACACTCTGATGAGGTCATTTCATGACTTGAAGCTCGGGTTCTATATGATAAGAAGCTTCAAAACATGCCGTAATGTCGAAATGCAAAAATCTGCCGAGACACTGACTTTTGTGTAAAGCCACAATCTTGAGCTATCTGATTACCCTGAAGGACCGCTCAAAAATCTTATAAACGTTTCACAAAGGTTAATATCATGCACACGTTGTGATTTTTCATGGCAAAAAAGATGTAAAAGGATGACGGTTATTCAAGAAATTCGTATAATCTTGATTACATATCACAATGAAAACCCGAATAAATAGGAACCACAGGAATTACGACCATGGGACTGCTATCCCTGTATGTTCAGGTTATCACACGGTCACACATAAAATGTGACAATTTCGTGACGCCGCAGTTTAGTTTTTGAGCTATAAGCACAAGCTCTACTTGTCCTGTTTACCCAATTCAATCCATTTCATCAAATTTCATACAAAAAGTGGCGTTCCTGAACGCGTTGTTGTAAAATGCATAAAGCGGATAATTATGGCGTCTGCCTCTTTGTAAAAAAATCTCTCGAGTGCGCAATGTATGTTATTGTGCGTTCATTCCATATTAGTTCGAGAGATTCGTAGGATTTTTTAAAAGAGAATACCGATTTTTGGTTTAAAAAAGTGATCAAATTTTAGCGACGAATTTTACGTGGTTCCCCATTGCCCTTCACGCGATAAATAGTGAAATCACGAAATTGTTACGTTTTGTGTGCGACAATGTGATAGCCTAGCATACAGGGATAGCAGTTCCATGATTCCGTCAGGCTGCTGCACAAGTTCTGCCCAACTTGAATTTTCGATTCCAGTATATCATAACTCCTTTCATAATCAACTTTTTCCATAATTTTAGCTCATTTGTATTGAACAGTCCCTGAGTTAACAAAAATGCTAGTCCTCACGAAAAACCTTGTCAAAGAAGAAGCAAGAACTCAAAAACTTTACGCGTTCTTCTTCAAACTGTCCTCTTAGGGGGTGGCAATGCTCCCTTATGAGATTGACAGGCGCATCAAACAGCCATAGGTAGATAAAATTTCAAAGACTACTCTACAGCCTAAAACTGCTCCTAGGATCTTTGGTGCCGGGAGACTATTTTGACCGATCAAAAGCGGAACCGTTTTTCGACTAGTATGCATGTATGTATGTATGTATTACGTTGCTGCATAAGTTCTGTCCGATTTTTTTTGCCTTATGTTTGAGGCAGCTGTTCTAAAAGAATTTCATTTCTAATGCGGTATTGTTAGTTAGTATCATTAAAGAGTGCTTTTCTTGCGCTTTCTAAGGCATATCAAATTTCAATAAATTTCTTAGT